GGTTGGTCTCCCACAGGTGTGTCCACCATGTCCAGTGTTCATATGACTCCTAAGGCTCTTAGTTTTTGGTTTCCCCTGCCTTCTTTGTTTTTTTGTGGTTGTAGTTTTGGTTTTTATCTGACTTGTTGAAGAAATTGGCCCATTTGTCCTGTTGAGTTCTCTGGATGTTGCTGATTGCATCTTCCTAGTATCATTTAACACGTTGCTCTGCTCCCTATATTTCCTGTGTTCTGAGAGTTATATCTAGAGGGTTGATAAGACTCAATTTGTTGGCAAGACCTCTTTACAGGTGTTATATACTTCCTTTTCTAACATATTTGGTGATTCCTACATATTCTTTTTTATTTAATTTTTTAAAATTGTAGATGGACACAATACCTCTATGTTATTTATTTTTATGTGGTGCTGAGGATCAAACTGAGTGTGTCACATGTGCTAGGCAAGTGCTGTACTGCTGACCCACAACCCCAGGACAAATGTTCCTTCCTCTCAGTAGCTTTCCTTGACCTATGATATTTTCAACCTGTCCTGTCATCTGTATTTTCCATAAAACTTTGCTTCTCATTATCACCTTTGTATATTCTACTTGAATAATTTAAGAGACCATGACACGCCCTCTCTAATGTCTGTCTGTAGTTGGGGAACTCCTCGGTGGTGGAAATCGTATCTTCCTGATCTTTTATCCTCATACTGACCATACTGTGGTGGATTAAAAAATGGCCAACAATTCTTTTCTTTTTTTATATATTTATTTTTTAGTTTTAGATGGACACATTATCTTTATTTTATATTTATTTGGTGCTGAGGATCGAACCCAGTGCCTCATGCATGCTAGGCAGGCACTCTGCCACTGAGCCTCAACCCCAGTCTCCAACAATTATTTTCTGCTCCCCTCTTCAAGAAATGAAGTGTATGGCTTGGGAGCCTGAGGCAGGAGGATCGCGAGTTCAAAGCCAGCCTCAGCAATGACAAGGTGCTTAGCAGCTTAGTGAGACCCTGTCTCTAAATAAAATACAAAATAGGGCTGGGATGGGGTTCAGTAGCCGAGTGTCCCTGAGTTCAATTCCCTGGTATCCCCCACCAAAAAAAAAAAAAAAAGAATTGAAGTGTATTTCCCCTCACTGAATAAAAATAAAGTCCATGTCCCTTACTTTGAAGAACAGAATGAGATAGAACTGACACTCTGGACACTCTGCCTTGAGCCACCATATAAAGTCCAGCACCCTGCTGGAGAGACCATGTGGAGAGAAAGAAATACCTGGCCAGCCTCCAGATCTCTACCATCCCAGCTGAGGTGTCAGGCATGTAAGTAAAACCACATTTGATTTCCAGACTCCCCTAAATCTCCAGATGCTATAACCTCAGTTAAACCCAGAATCGTGAATAAAAACGTGATTATTGTTTTAAGTCACCAAATTTTCTGATGGGTTTTTATGCAGCAATAGATTACTTTGAATTGTAGTATCTAAGATATGGGAGCAGTCCAATAAATATTTGCTGAATTTAATTTTTGTTTTGGTACCAGGGATTGAACTCAGGGGCATTCAACCACTGAGCCACATCCCCAGCCCTATTTTGTATTTTATTCAGAGACAGGGTCTCACTGAGTTGCTTAGGGCCTCTTTTTTTTTTTTTTGCTGAGACTGGCTTTGAACTCATAATCTTCCTGCCTCAGCCTCCTGAGCCGCTGGGATTACAGGCATGCACTACTGTGTCCAGCCTGAATTATATTTAATAGTAAGGGAATAGTGGGTAATTAGATATCCCTATGGCTCATCTAAGCACTGAGATTGTGTGACCCCTAAAGCATTAATAACCTCCCTCTTTGAATTACTTGCTGTTACCTTTTGGATCTGGATTGTCCCCCAGAGGTTCATGTGTTATGGGCTTGGCGTCTAATACAGTGATGTTCAGAGGTGGGGCTCCTGGGAAATGCCTGGGCCATGAGGACTCCCATATCATCAGAGGATTAATATAGCAATAGCTGAATGGACTACTGGGAAGTGGATTGAAGGTAGTGAGTCCTTGGGGGGCTGTTGTGTCCTTGGGAATATATCTTGTCCCTGGTTCTTCCTCCTTCCCTCCTGCTCCCTCCCCCTTCCCTGTTGCCAGAGAGCTGAGCAGCTTTCCTTGGACGCTCCCTTCCACCATGATGTTCTGCCTCACCTCAGATCCAAAGCAAAGAAACTGGCCAAGCATGGGCTGAAACCATGAGTTGAATTAAACCTTTCCTCTGAGTTGTTTATGCAGGTATTCTGATCATAGCAATGAAAAGCTCACTAACACCCTAACTTGACCTTTTCTTGAATGCTGTACTATTTATAATTGGTTAACCATTTTTCTTTATCTGATTGCTTTGGGAGGGGTTGGATACTATGGGTTTATACCAGGATATTTTTTAAAGATAGACTGTACCCCAAGATCTGATTGGTCTTTCTGAAGTCATGCATCAAAGTCAAGATTTAGCCATGTTGCCATATTGCCAAATGTTCCTTTCTGTTGTAGCAGAAAGGAACACAGTGCAGATTCTACCACTTATTGCCCAAGTGTTTAAAGACTTTCCTCTAATGGAAACAAAGGACCAGAGGGAAACTGGAGTAAGAAGATTGTAGCGCACAGAAAATGGGTTCTCCATGCACTTTGTTGTCTCCTGTCATAAATATTAAATGTTGCCTTGGTTTTGACAGACCTGTTCCTGACCCTGTTACCTTGACAACTTATTTGTGATTTGACTCAGTTTCTAGTTGAGCCCTTTGTGCCATGGTCATTACACACAGGTTCCATATGGCTTTGTCCCCTGGTTCTCAACTTCTGTTCAGTCACCACTCTTGGCTCCCCATTTGGTTTCCTTCTTAGAGCCATTGGAATTTGCTATAAACCTAACTCCTCTTCATCCTTCAGATCCCAGGTCTTATGTTATTGCCATGGGAAGAACTTCCTTGACACCCAAGGCTAGCTCAGGTCCCCCTAATGTATGCCCTCAGAGTTTTCTGTATTTTACCTTCAAGGTATTTAATCACAATTTAAAAAAAAAATTTTTTAGTTGTAGTTGGACACAACACCTTTATTTCACTTATTTATTTTTATGTGGTGCTGAGGATTGAAGCCAGGGTCTCACAGGTGAGATTCAAGCACTCTACCACTGAGCCACAACTCCAGCCCCTACAATTATTTTTATTGTATGTTCTCTTCATCCTGTATCTTCAGCACCTAGGATAATACCTGGAACAGAGTAGGAGTTCATTATATTAAGCAAACACGAAAAAAGGATGCTTTTGTGACTTGGACTCTGCTATAGTTTGGGTGTGGTTTGTCCCCTATGGGTTCATGTGTTGGAAGCCTGGACCTAGAGTAGAAGTGTTGGGAGATGGTGAGGAACCTTTAAGAACAGAGTCTCACGGGATGACCTAAAATCACTGGGGGAGCTGCCCTTAGAAGGGATAAGGTAGCTCTCTTGGACTCCTGAACTCTCAAGAGTGAGTTGTTGTAAGAGTAAGCACAATCCCTGAATTGCTCCTTGGTTTCCCTTTTGGAGATGTGATTTCTTCCTCCCACACACACTTCCACCCTTGTTATACTATCCGTGGTTAGGTCTTCTCCAGATGCCAAACTAATGAGACCCATTGATCTTGACTTTGAACCTCCAGAACCTGTGAGCTAAATAAAACTTCTTTTTATATAAAGTCAGCCTGCCTCAGGTATTTTACAGCAATGCAAAATTATCTGTGTTCCCACCTCTTTTTTTGTATATATGAGATCATATTGTATAGGACCTGAGCTAGTTACAAAACTTCTGAATCTTAGTTTGTGTGTGTGTAAAGTTGGGAGAATATTGTTTTATCTAACCCATAGTTTGAGATGCTATGCATGTAGCAGAAGCTTAGCAAAGTTTTCATAGAGTGAGTAGCATATGCTATCTCTTGTAATGACAAATCTATATTTTAACAGAGATTTATTTCATTTAACAAAAAAAGAAAAATTGAGTACCCAAGCAGAAAGAGTTATGTTTATTGAGTTGGAAATAAAATTCAACATTTTATATACCTTTGCCTGCCGAGGTGTCTATATTTTTCTTCTGGGCTTAATTGAATTGAAAACTAGACATTTTTTCGTGGGGAAGGGGGAAATTATTTGAATGAATTTGAACAAAACTAGTATTGATTGTCTTCTCCTGCTCCTAGGAGGTTTGTGTCTGTCTAGTCTACCAAGAATACCAATTCCATGTAGCTTAAAAAACTATAGCTTTAAAAACTGCAAGAAAGCAGAAGCGGTGAAGGCATGTGAATCTGAAGACCAAGGAGAGCTACCCAACGCTAACATTCTCCCCGAGTGGTACAGCTGATTAGCCATAGGAAACCAGTGTCAGGATAAAACGTTGACCACTGGGAGTGACAGCAAAAGTGCTTTCTGCTTAGCTGGTCTCTGTGCTACAAGTCTCACAGGCTGGCTTACCTTTGGCCTGCTTACCCTTTCTATTTTCCCCAATTAGTACAGTCTAGATATCTTACATACAAAATAGAAATGTTATCCATGTTTTCTTTTAACATGTTCACTCCCTTCTGGAATCCCTCCCCACTTGACATTTCCTCAGGGATACAAAATACAGAGAAGGGAGAAGGTGCTGGAAGGATCCAAACTTAATTAGAGTTATATATTTTATTTGAGCCTCATCTCTTTGGAGATGGGGAAACAGAAATGAGAGAAGTCAGTCAGAAGTAGTCTGGCGTGAAGCCCAGAGATGTAGGGTGCTTGAAGAAGGAAACCCTTTCCTGGGATATCTGCTGAAGGTGAGTCTGGACGGGGAAGGTAGAGAGCATCATTGGCATTTGGTAATGTGGCCTGGGAGTGTAATCCCAGTGCCCAGTGAGGAGACAGTAGGTGGAGGAGTCAAAAAGCCAAGTACTGCTAGTATGTACCAAGTCTAGGCTTCCTAACCAAGTGGCCCCTTTTGGGTGGGAAAGATTTGCCTGTTTTCTGACCCCTTATTTCCAGTTCACCTCCTAGGGGGACTCATCGTCATAGGCATTGGGTGAGTATGAATCCATATGTTGCCCTCTCCTCTCCACTGACGGTGTCTGAGGCCGAGACTGAGACTGGGTTTGGGTAGCCTCAGAGTAAGATTGCCTCTGCTGCCGCTGAGGGTACGTGTAAGCCCTTGACCTGGATTTGGGCTGGGGCACCCTCTCCACCTCCAGCTCCATCTCGGGATCAGTCTCTATCTCCGTCTCTGGTGGGGTCTTGGGATCCACATCACTCTGGGCTTCCAGCTCCAGCTCGGACTCAGGCTCAGTTTCTGGGTACATCTCAGATGGAAGGTCCAGGTACGAATCCAGCCCTGCATCTCGTTCTGACCCCAGCATGGGCTCCATTTCCAAATCAAACTCTGACTCCTCTTCTACTGGCGCCTGGCCCTTGGCAAATGTTGGACTTGGATTTTTGTGGCTCTCTGGAAAGTTACTACTTTTGTGTCTTGGAATGTCATTCTGAAATATACACAATTAGATGGGGTAAAATTTCCAATTAAAGTTTAACTTTCAAGCAGTCAAAGAATATCAAAATATAATAGGACTTAAGATATCAGAAGACCACATGTTCCTGGCAAAGTAGAAAATATTTCTTGTCTAAATCTGCTTTTTATCTTCTTTGCACTCCTCAGTTTCTCAGTCACTCACTATTCTTCAGGCTCAATCAATCCCTACCTTCAGATCTCTGGCTTTTCTAGCCAGACTGGATGATGTGATCAACCATTTAAACAGCAATGGTCTTCACAGCATTCCGAAACACCTTGTGTTCTTGATCTTACTTACCTTGCCATCCATGTTGAAACTCTTGACAGGGCACGTAAGGCTATTTGCACCTGGCCTCTTGCCATCTTCTTCAGCATTATCTCCACCTGTGGTACCCACCCTTTGCTCTAGCCATACAGCTACCCGGAGTTGCCTGACTACTGCTTACCTTTGCTCACACTGCTCCTCTTTCCTGCCTTGACCTTCTCCATCTTGTCCACATATACTTATTTATCATTCCAGATTCAGATCAAAGGATCCCAGCTTCCTCTGTGTTCCACTATACTTCACCCACACTTCTATCACTGTACCAGTAATATATTCCCTTATTTACAAACCTACCCCTTCCTAGGCTCTAAGTTCCTTGCAGTGCCTGGTTCTTGATATTCCCAGTGCCAAGCACTGAATCTGTCCCATAGCAGGTGCCTGCAAGAGTTGGTGAATCATCCCTGCAGCAATGTCTTGTGAAATTTACCACTTTCACCCTTCCCAAAGATTTGCTTATTTTCACCAAGGGTCATGTCTACTTTTCCTTCTTCCTTCCTGGTTTGCTTCTCTATGCTGTTTTCTCTATTTCTGCTGGATTCACCCCGACCCCCATACTGGGGATTGAACCCCAGGCCCGGCACATGCTAGGGAAGCAAGTCACCACTAAGCCACATCTTCAGCTTTTTCTTTTCTTTCCCTTCCTTCCTTCCTTCCTTCCTTCCTTCCTTCCTTCCTTCCTTTCTTTCTTTTTTTTAAATTTATTTTTGAGACAGGGCTCAAGAAGTTGCTGAGACTGCCCTTGAACTTGCAGTCCTCTTGCCTCAAGCCTCCTGAGTAGCTGTGCCACCATGCTCAACTCTGAAGGAGTTTGAAATGGTGGCATGTTCCAAGTCTTGATCCTGGGACCCTTCTCTTCTTGCACTCTCTCCCATGGGTAATTTTATTTAGGCCCATAATTTTCATTACCATCTATATGCCAGTGACTCTTTGATTGTAACCATTCCCCTAATCAGCAGGTTCTATACCTACTTGCATTCTTTTTTTTTTTGGTACCAGGGTTGAACTCAATGGTGCTCAACCACTGAGCCACATCCCCAGCCCTTTTTGTATTTTATTTAGAGACAGGGTCTCACTGAGTTGCTTAGGTCCTTGATTTTGCTGAGGCTGGCTTTGAACTCACTCCTCTTGAGCTGCTGGGATTACAGGCATGCGCCACCATGCCTGGCCCTACTTCTATTCTTGACATCCCCATTTAGATGTTTAGTAGGCATCTCAAATTTAATACAAATAAAATATTTGTATTAAATTTTAATAAATTTTAATCTGGCTCCTTTTCTAGTCTTTCCTGTCTTAAATGCCAGAAACAAACTGATATATTCAATACGAACTCTTAATATAAGTCCTGAAAAGAATGTTAATAAATTAGAAAAATACTTAAAAAAAAACACAGTCAACAATGCCCATCATAAGCCACAGTTACCACTAGCTTTCATACAGGCTCACAAGAGGCTTTCTCATCAACTCCAGGAATAGGACAAGACTCAGTGCTATTGTTTAAATTATTTTGAGAGATCTAACTTATGTAATAACATGTAATAATGAAATAAGAATTCTAACAGGGAATGAGAGATTGGTGTTATTTTTAGTACACATTTTATATATAAAATAACCCAAACAAGAGAGGCATGGTGTGGTAGTACACACCTATAATCCCAGCAGCTCAAGAGGCTGAGGCAGGAGAATCCTGAGTTCAAGGTCAGCCTCAGCAATTTAGGGAAGCTCTAAGCAACTCAGCAAGACCCTATCTCTAAATAAAATATTAAAGGGGACTGTGAATGTGGCTTAGTGGTTAAGCACCCCTGGGTTCAATCCCTGGTACCAAAAAACAAACAAACAAAAAACCCAAAGAATTAACAATGAAATCTCTTAGGCCAAATAATTTTATAAAAAATCAAAGAGTTGGCCTGAAGATGTGACTCAGTGGTAGAGTACTTGCCTAACATAAGCAAGGCCCTGAGTTCCATCCCTAGCATTTCACTCCCAACCCGAAAAAAATCACTGAGTTTCTTATATCCTAGAAATTGCCAGTTGAACCATTTAATAGAAGAGAGAATTTATTTTATTGTTGTTGCTTTTAGTTTGAGACGAGATCTTGCTATGCTCCCCAGGCTGGTTTAAAATCCATGGACTCAAGAGATCCTTCCTTCTCAGCCTCTTGAGTAGCTGGGACTATAGGTGTATACGATCATGTGTGGCCTAAGACAATTTATTTTAAAAAGCAATACATGTTATTACATATAAAGTAATAATGAGGATTTGTCTACATGAAGCAAGTTGTAAAATATTTTTATGAATGCAACATTTAAAAATATTGGATAATTGTATACAGTTCATGTTCCTGGATAGGAAGAACAGATAATGTAAAGATATAAATTCTCAGATTATTTCATATCATTAATGTTATTCTAAAGAAAATTCCAACAGATTTTTTTGTTGTTTGTTTAGTTTTGTTTGTTTGCATTTTGAGAGTACAGAGTAGAAACTGATAAAGATTCAAAAGTTGGTTTGAAAGAATAAATTCGTGATTATGAGTTAGAGAAAAAATTTTTTGTTAGAAAATTTTGAAACAATGCTGATGACACAGGACTCTGTGTGTGTGTGTGTGTGTGTGTGTGTGTGTTTTCTAGGGATTGAACCCAGAGGCCTTCCACCACTGAGCTACACACAAACCCTTTTTCTTATTTTTATTTATTTATTTTTAGTTGTAGATGGACACAATACCTTTGTTTTTATTTATTTGTTTTTATGTGGTGCTGAGGATTGAACCCAGAGCCTTGCACGTGCTAGGCGAGCACTGTATTGCTGAGCCGCAACCCCAGTCTAAACCCTTTTTCTTAATTTTTATTTTGAGGGTCTTGGTAAATTATTGCTCTAAATTATTGCCATGCTAAATTATGGGCTGACTTCAAACTTGCCATCTTCCTGCTTTAGCCTCCTGAGTCACTGGGATCACAGGCATAAGTCACCATGCCTGTCAACACAGGACTTCTTAAGTCAATGTTAAAATGTGTTATCAAATTGTAGTAATCAAAATATTATGATACCAGAATTATGAAGAACAATGAAACCAAAAACCAGGAAAGAAATAGGTTTTAGGTTTTTTTTTGTTGTTGTTGTTGTTTGTTTTTAGTTGTAGTTAGACACAATACCTTTATTTTATTTATTTATTTGTATGTGGTGCTGAGGATCGAAACCAGCGCCTCACACATGTGAGGCAAGGGCTCTATTGCTGAGCCACAATCCCAGCTCCTAGGTTTTAGTTTTTGTAAGTAAATCATACTTAATATAAATAGCATCTGATATCAGTGAGGCAAAAAAGGCTTATTCAAGAGATGGTTGGATGGTACTATGGTTTGCATGTATGTCCTCCAAAATTCATGTTGAAACTTAATACCCAAAGTGGTGGTATTAAGAGGTGGGGCCTTTTGGAAAGTGACTAATTCCTCCTAAAGGGGCAGAAGGGAATTTCTACATGTGAGGAGGATGCCAATGATGGAACAAGCCCTCACCAGACACCAAACTTTCTGGGACCTTGATCTTTGATGTTTCAAAAAAATATATTGTTATTTATAAATTACCCAGTCTCTGGGATTTTGTTCTAAGAGCACAAATGGACTGAGACAGATGGTAGAGCTCAAAATAGTTAGCTATATAGATTTTTTAAAATGGTTATCTTTAACATTATGTACTGAAATACATTCTAGATAGATTAAAGAGTCATAACATATGAAAAATGAAATCATAAAATGTAGGAGAAAATGTTATTTTGTATGTGGGAATAACTTCATAAGCAAAAATAAGTGGAAAATAAAAAGAAAGATTAATAGATGTCACGATATAATATATAATATATAAAAAAAGTCAAGAGAATCATGATTATAAATAAAAAACAAAAATAGAGAAACATCCATTTAAAGTAAAAGCAGATTATATAACTCAGACCAACCCTCCCCATGTGGACAATTAGGTAGAATTAAAAAAAAAAAAAAAAAACTCTGCTTGAGGGTACCATAATGCTAACAAGATTAAAAGGAATTATCAGGCCAAGAATGGGAAGAATTGAAAACCTAGGGAGATGAATCTAGCATTTGGGGCCACTTTTGTCATGAAAGTATTTCATGATCTAGAAGTATCACATGAAGCAGTACTTTTGATATTTTTAGGGGCTCAGAGTTGCAAAAATTACATTCCATAGTCTGCTAGGGAGGGGTTATGGCAGACTTTCTCACAAACTATAACTGGCCTTTGGGTCATCAGAATGATAAAGAAAACCTCAAGTCCTGATATCAGATCAAAGTAATTCTAGATTGCTAGAACCTCCAGTATCTGGCAAAAAAAATCCATTTATTTCTGGAAGAGAAATATCCTCCTAGGCCACACATTATTTTTATAAACATTTTCCAAATACAATGTCTGGCACACAAGATTACCAGGCACATTAGATTTTGACAGTGAAGGGTGTATGTCGAATCTCTAAGGCAGTAATTCTCAAAATGTGGTCCCTGTACCAGTTAGTTCCATCAACATTATCTGGTAACTGGGTAGCAATGCAAAATCTTAGGACCTACCCTGGACACGCTGAGTCAGAAATTCAGTGGATTGGGGTACAAAGGGGCCTAGCTGTCTTTGTTTTAATAGCACATTTAGGTGATTCTGATGTATACTAAAGTTTAAAAATGAATGGAAATTCTGAGCAGAGATATTGTCAAGAGAATTATTGTTCTGGGTAGAGGTGAACTTGATGAGCTCTGATGTCCCTTCTGATGGAAAGGTTTTCTTTTCTTTTCTTTTTTAAAGAGAGAATTTTTATTTATTTATTTATTTTTAGTTTTCAGCGGACACAACATCTTTGTTTGTACGTGGTGCTGAGGATCGAACCTGGGCGCACGCATGCCAGGCGAGCACGCTACCGCATGAGCCACATTCCCAGCCCGGAAAGGTTTTCTAAGTCTATGATTTTATAAATGGGAGTGAACTATACTGTAGAAAAAAAAAAAAAAAAAAAAAAAAAAAAAAATCAGGTCTAGCTACCAGGGAAAAATTATTTTGGATAAAACAGAGATACATAACTTGGGAGAATTCTCATCAAAACAAGGGAAATAACTGTAATATATTGCTGAAAGAAAGAAAGGGGCTAGGGATATAGCTTAGTTGGCAGAGTGCTTTCCTTGCATATAAAAGGTCCTGGGTTTGATCCCCAGCACACACACACAAAAAAAAAATAAAAAAATAAATAAGAGGGCTGGGCTGTAGCTCAGTGGTAGAGTGCTTGCCTAGCACATGTGAGGCACTGGGTTGGATTCTCACACATGTGAGGCAGCACCGCATAAAAATAAATAAAATAAAAGTATTCTGTCCATCTACAACAAAACAATTTTAAAAAGAAAGAAAAGAACTATGTTTTACAAGCCTGAATATCTTTTACTTCTTAGAATTTTTAAAAACACTTATTAGGGGCTGGGGTTGTAGCTCAGTGATTGAACACTTGCCTCTCATGCATAAGGCATCAGGTTCAATCCTCAGCACCACATAATAAATAAGTATATAACAAAAATATAAAAAAAACCCACTTATTAATGTGGTAAAACTTTTAGTATTTTTTATTTAGTATTTTTTCTTATCATAAAAATTCAAACATTATTGAAATCTAGAAATTTGAATCATAGATTTGATTGAAAAATAGGGCTGGGGATGTGGCTCAAGCAGAAGCACGCTCGCCTGGCACGTGTGTGGCCCGGGTTCGATCCTCAGCACCACATACAAAGATATTGTGTTTGCCGAAAACTAAAAAAAAAAAAAAAAAATTAAAAAATTACCTTTCTCTCTCTCTCTCAAAAAAAAAAAAACCCTTCCCCCCCGACTTTAAAAAAATAATAATAATAATTCCTAAGTCTTTAAATAGTATTTGATGCCCATCTGTGTTTTATTTTTTTTCTTTCTTTTTTTTTTTTTTTTTAAAACTTTGACCTACACAGATACTAATTTGAAAATGCTTAGCAGAACAGTTATTTATTTAGTATTAATAAATGACTAAAACTTCTGACATATATATATATATTTTTTCGCCTTTGGTCAGATTGAATAAATCTTCTATTTCTCACAAGGTAAATAATAGTCAAAATATTAGACATACAGATATTTACCTCAGCTAATTCATGAGTTTTATATTTCATCCTAAAGGCGGGGGTGGGGTAGGCTCTAAAGGTCTATCTAAGGGAGATATTTAAGATATTGAGTGATTGGCGTGGCACTAACCAAGGCTGATGTAAAGGGAGGCTCTAGGTTGCTGCTGGGTTGGATTAACCCTCTCTTCAGTTGAAGAGTGTTCTGGATGGCACCCAGATGCCATGGCAGTAGGGGCACTTGGAGCCTCAGGTACACTGCTATTTATGAGTTGGTAAGAAAGCATTTTCAACATCTCAAATTCTGGTACAGCCATACTAGAAAACCTTTCCCGGACATTATTCATCTCTATCGGATCAGGGGTCTCACCCTTCTCCACGCCTCCCCACAATCCTGGTGCTTTGCATCATCCAACCTTGTTCACGTCTGAGTAGGTTTCCTGTATCACTGTCTCAGATTCATCCTCGCTTAACTCAGAGAGCTCTGGAAACTTCCTTGATAAGGCAAACAGCACAGCATCGTGGAGGCTGAGGAACAGCTGGGCCTTGGTGATGCCTTCATCAAAGAAGTCATTCTTTTCAAACATCCTGACCACAGAGGCTACAAACCAAACCCAAAACACACAGCGTCAGACACCTGGGGAGCAAGGCCCCCAGGGTGCAAGACACAGCCCTCTCCTAGAGTAAAGGATACTCACGGTGACACCCTGCAATGAGCACCAAAATGTTGGCGTTTTGGAAAGAATTGCACATCTGCAGGGAGAGAGTAAATGCATCAGAGAGCTTCATGCTCACTAAAAAAGAAACTTTTAATTAGCTGAGTTTTCAAACCCCTTTGGCCACGGGCTCATCTGGGATATAAATACAGTTGCCTCCCAATTCTGCTCTACAAATATTTGATGAGTGGACTTCTGTACTCCAGGGAACACAAAATAAAGTCAGACCATCTCATGGGGGTGGAGGTTGAGAGGGAGGGATGCTCACAGTCTTGAGGTGGGTAACAGTTCACGTAAATGTTTGCATGAGGAAAGCCTTGGAATAGAGATGTGTATGGGTATGACGGGAACACTTTGGAAATCGCCATGAAAAGCTTGGGAATAATGTTTAATGTTCGTGTGTGACCCTCTGCTTCCTGGAGTTCATCAGGCCGAGGGGTGGAGATGTGGCTCAATGATGGTCAAGTGATGCACTGGGAAACAGAATTCAAAAATCCTGGGGGTCACATTCAGAGCTGTTCTGCAACATTGCATTAGAAACCTCAAGTTTACTTCAGCCAATAAATAATTTGAAAGTCACTTCTAACTAAGTCAATACTGAGTCTAAGATTGCATAGACTTCAGCCCTGAGAACCAAATTAAAATGTTAAAAGAAACCAATAAAACAGACTTTGCTTCTATCAGTACCAAGAGGAAACAGGAAGTTCTTTTTTTGTACCAGGGATTGAACCCAAGGGTGCTTAAACACTGAGCCACATCCCCAGCCCATTTTTTATTTTTCATTTTGAGACAGAGTCTCACTAAGTTGCTCAGGGCCTTGCTAAATTGCTGACGCTGGTCTGGAACTTGCAATCTTCCTGCCTCAGCCTCCCAAACTGCTGGGATTACAGTGCACCCCAGGCACAAAGTCATTTTTGATCATATGGGAAATCATGAAGTCATTTGGTGAAGGGCTTCAACAGACATACTCTAAATGACAAGCAATGAGAAAGGGAAAGCCCATGAATTTAGAAGAAGCTTAAACTGAGTGGTTGTCTCTAATAAAAATGGATGAATGGGATTTTAAAAGTACGGTGGTGCAGCTGTAATCCCAGAGGCTTGAGAGGCTGAGGCAGGAGGATCGTGAGTTCAAAGCCAGCCTCAGCAAAAGCAAGGCACTGAGCAACTCAGTGAGACAAATTAGGGCTGGGGATGTGGCTCAGTGGTCAAGTGCCCCTGAGTTAAATCCCTGGTATCCCCCCCGGAAAAAAAAAAAAAAAAGATACCTGACATTTCCTCTATGGGGATAGAGCAGACAGTCATCCACAAGGGCCAGAAAATATGGTGCCTTAGTAAGTGATGGGGGGTGGGGAAGAGAGGAGAGGAAAGCACAGTTTCTCTATGGAATATTTTAAAGAGGTGGAAACAGACTCAGTGCAATTTAGTAATGTGCCTTGGGTCAGACAGACAGTGAGTATTGAAGCTAGACTAGAGCACACATTTCCAGACTGGCAGCCAAAGTTCTCCCAGCTACTGCCTCAGAATAAAGAGGATCTGGACTCACTTAAGAGAATAATATTCCCTTGGTTAGAAAAATGTATGCTAAAGTAGACTTCAAAGATAAAAAAAAAGGCAAGAGGCTGGGGTTGTGGCTCAGTGGTAGAGTGCTTGCCTAGCATGTGCGAGGCCCTGGGTTCGATCCTCAGCACCACATAAAAATAAATAAATAAAATAAAGGTTAAAAAAAGGATAAAAGAAAGTAAACCAACCAAATCAGCATATCTCAAAAAAGGGTGGTTGCAGTCAGAACCAGGAAGTGAGTGCCCAGGATGCTTAAACTTGGGCCACTTCCAATAGGGGCAAAGGTAAGATAGAGCACTATCAACAGAGATAAGCTGGCTGAAGAAAGTACAATGTACCTATGAGACACTGAGCAATGAAACCAGGGTGGTGAACTGTGCATATGAACTGTCTGCTGTGTACAGGAAGGAGAGAAATCAGAAGTCAAAGAACTTGAGAGTAGGAGTCAGGTCTTGGCGACACGAATTTTGAAGGAAAACAATCTTCCCTATCCTTTTCTACATGAAGATAGAAAATGAACAGGGCAGTATCTGCAGCAGATACTGGACTGGTAACTCCAGGCTTGGGGTATCATTTCATTCCAACTTTTTCATATTTGATTACTAGACAACCCAGTGTCTGGCTCAGAGCAGCTGAAGAGTAGGAATTCTTGGTGAAATTCTTTCTGTACCACTCAAATGTAATGGGAGTTACACAGGGGACATGGCACAGATTGCTACTTCGGTGGTGTTGGGAATTTTCTTTTTTGCATTCTTGGAGAAATAATAAATGGCTCTTGTTTATTGAACCAACCCCAGTTCATTTTATTCTGATTGGACTTAAATTACCATCTGTGTTCAAGTTTCTGTTAGCCTAGCAGTCATGTAGTAGCTAATCAGAGGCTAACAGGATTAAAATGGGGATGGGCGTGGGTGTGGGTGGTGTGAGGGGATCGGAGGTATTGGCAAAGCCCCCCAGGGACTTACCTGTCTTAATACCACCAAAGCATGAAAATCAACATATTGCACCATGGAGAAATCCAGGATAATGGTGTGGGTGCTGGGTTGAAAAGACATGTCTGAGTAAGGGATGAGTGATCTCTCCTGACTTTCTGTAGTATCAGGTGGTGGAAGCAAGCTATTTCTTGAAGGGTGGTTAGCAATCCGGACTTTCTCCATATGCCCGTAGTTTTGTCCTTGAATTCTCTGAGACGACGAAGATCCGGTGTTTGGCATTTGTTCAACAGATACACTTGGGCTTATATTTATGCTCTCCAAATGTGAGCAGCGGACCAGGTTAACAGAGGACGCATCAAGAGCCTCTTTATTTTCAAATCGTTCTGTGTAGACAATCTGAGAGAATAGAGATAACATTCAAACAAGGGCTGGAAGTACACTCTGTGTACTGGCTCACTTCCCTCTCTCCTATGAAATTTCTCCCTGGACTAGGTACCACTGTGTATTTTTTACTTGGATATCTCATGGCCAAAGCTACGTTCATCTTTCCTCATCCTAACCACCCACGGGGGCTCCTTCCCAACTTCCTGTGTCCATCGATGACATTATTGTTCTAGTGAGCCAGACTTAAAATCATCCTTGATTTGTTCCTTTTCTTTGTTTCTGGGTCCTCGTTAAGTCTTCAATGTCTACAAATATTTGGTTCAGACTCTACCTTTCTCTTGGGACTTTTTTCATCACCTTCTTCTTTTATCAGTGCAACAGTCTTCTGTCACTCTTTGTTTAGAAGACACAAATTTACTTGAGCAGGGTACTCCTTTCACTCTCTTAATAGTCCCAAGCGCCTTCTGTAGCTTTAGGACAGCAGCAAGGACCAGGAATACAACTATATGCAAGATATGAATGTGACCCCTGCATTCACAGGGATGGGATTCTACCTGGGGGGAGTATACATGTCCATTAAAAAGACAAATACATAATATGAGTAGATGAGGATTGTCAGGTTTATGGGAAAATGAAAACAATTTGATTGTTAGAGCGGCATAATTCTGAGTGATGTTTCTTTTTCTTTTTTAAAATTTGTTGTCACTGGGAAAAATGATTGACCACAGTATGATTGTTGAGTGATATGATATACCTTCTAGAATAACCAGGGTATTGGTAGTTTATGCTCAAGAAAACTACATACAATGGAAAAATGATGTGTTACAACTGAAGCACCCTGATGGCTAAGCTTTTACTGCTGCTACCTAGCTAGGACCTGATTTCCAGGTGATATGTCCTCTACTCCTTAAATTGACCCTGACTCACATAATTTGAAAAGCACTATTATGTCAGAAAGTTATTTAATATGCCAAAATCATTTCTGACATGGAAGTCTAAATAAGTTGCTTAATTTTTTAAAATGACAAAATGTGAAGCTGAAAGGAAAATTAAATAAATGTGAAACCCAACAAAAAATTTAAAACCTCTGTTATCATTCTAATAATGTGGCTTGTGAAGTAAACTTTAGAACTGTGGGTTTAGCTAAGTGGTAGAGAGTAGACTTAGCATGTGCCAGGCCCTGGGTTCCTCAGCAGGAAGGAAGAAAAGATATTAATTTTTAAAAATTAAAGATAAAAGCCATTCAAGGTAGTATATATTGTGTAGCAAAAAAAAAAAAAAATGGTATGGATAGATGATAATATGATAGCTCAACTGCAAGAGTTGTTCCTCAAGACATGAAAAGCACTGAGGCCAGACTTCTGGGGGACAGGTGTGGGTTCTCCCAGTGGCAGAGAGATGCAAGCTTCTCCAGATAGAGGAACTTTTTTTTCCTGAGAGCTCCTCTGATCTCTTTTTCATAGACTCTACGTTCCTGTTTTTCTACACCAATAATGAACCCAGTGAAAAAGAAACTAGGAAAACAATTCCATTCACAATAGCCAAAACAAAACAAAACTGAGAATAAATCTAACCAAGGAGGTGAAAGACTTCTATCATAAAAATCATGGAACACAGAAGAAAGAAATTGAAGAAGACATTAGAAGATGGAAAGACCCTTTATTTTCTTGGATAGGCAGAATTAACATCATTAAAATGGTCAAAAGTAATCTATACATCCAATGCAATCTCCATCAAAATATCAATGACATTGTTCACAAAAGTGGAAAAAACAGTCCTCTAAAATCCATAGGGAAGAATAAAAGACCCCCAAAAACCCAAGCAATTCTAAGCAATAATAGGCTGAAGGGCATCACAGTACCCAACTTTGAATTACACTACAGAGCTATACTAAAAAAAACAACATGGTATTGAAATAAAAACAGACATGAAGACCAATGGAATAGAATAGAAGACATAAGGACTAACTCATACAGTCATCACATCTTTGACAAAGGTGCCAAAAACATACTTTGGAGAAAAGCAGACGTTTTAACAAATGATGATGGGAAAACTGGATATCCAGATGTAGTAGAATTAAACTAGATTCCTATCTATCACTCTGAACAAAAGTCAATTCAAAGTGGATCAAAGTCCTGGGAGTTAGACCAGAAAAATGATTCCTAGAAGAAAACATAGTGTCAACACTCCAACATGTAGACTCAGACATTGACTTCCTTAATAAGACTCCTAAAACTAAAGAAATAAAACCAAGAATCAATTAGTGGTATTGCATCAAATTCAAAAGTTTCTGCACAGCAAAGGAAACAATTGAGAGCATGAAAAGAGAGCCTACAGAACGGGAGAAAATCTTTGTTGGTACTCTTCTGACAAGGGATCAATATCCAGAATCTGGACTGAGGTTGTAGCTCAGTGGCAGAGTGCTTGCCTCATATGTGGAAGGCACTGGGTTTGATCCTCAGCACCACATGGAAACAAAATAAAAGTAATGTGTCCATCTCCAACTAAAAAAAATATTCTAAAAAATATCCAGGACCTATAAAGAATTCTGAAAACTTAACATCAAACAACAACAAAAAACCCAATCAGTAGATGGGCAAATGAACTAAATAGACATTTCTCAAAAGAAGAAATGCAAATGGCAAAGAAATATGTGAAAAAGTTCAATATTCTTTCTCAGCAATCAGGGAAATGCAAATCAAAACTAAACTGGGATTTCACCTTACCTCAGAATGACAAGCATCAAGAATATAAATAATGATAAATGCTGGCAAGGATGTGGGGAGAAAGGAAAACTTATACATTGTTGGTAGGACTGTAAATTAGCACAATCATTATGGAAATCAGCGTGGAGACACCTCAAAAGACTAGGAATGGAAACACCACATAACCTATCTGTTTTACTCCTTGATATTTATCCGAAAGAACCAAAGTCAGCATACAATAGTAATACATTCATTTCAGGGTTTGTAGCAGTGTGATTCACAACAGCCAAGTTACAGAACCAGCATCAGTGTCTACAAACTGATGAATGGATTAAAAAAGTGGCATATATATACACAATGGAGTTAATTTAGCCATAAAGAAGAATGAAATTTTGTCATTTGCTGATAAATGGATGGATCTGGAGAACATCTGGTTAATTGAAATAAGCCAAACTCAGAAAGTCAAGAGTGGAATGTTTTCTTCTCATATGCAGAAGTAAAGAGAAAAGAAATTGAAAAAAAAAAAAAAAGAGAGAGACAGAGAGAATGGAGAACAGTAAAGAAAGGGATCAAGGAAAGGAAGGAGAGGAGGGAAAGAGGAGGAACTGGGGAATGAAATCAATCAAATCATGCTATGTGCACATACGAATATATCACAAAGAATCACACATTTATTATAATTATAATACTCCAATTAAAAAATAAAAATAATAGAGTAGAAGATGGGGAGGGGGAAGAGGAGGAAGGGGAAGGGAAGCACTATGGAATGAAACTGGAGCAAATTATGTTATGTCCATACATGAATATGTCACAATAAACCTCACTATTATGGATAATTATAATGTACCAATAACAATATAAAAAGATAGCATGTGTTGTGTTATTTATTTAATTTGTCGGGGGGTGTACCAGGGATTGAACTCAGGGGCATTCAATCACTGAGCCACATCCTGAGCCCTATTTTGTATTTTATTTAGAGACAGGGCCTCACAGAGTTGCTTAGTGCCTCGATGTGGCTGAGGCTGGCTTTGAACTCCCAATCCTCCTGCCTCAGCCTCTCCCCGCCAGCTGCTGGGATTACAGGCGTGTGCCACTCACCCGGCTATGTTATTTATTTTTTATCACAATGAAAAAAAACTACTTGAAGACAGAAACAGAGACTCTTCTTTTTTCTTTTTAATGATCCCCAAGACACAGGCAACAAGAGAAAAATAAACAAATGGGATTGCATCAATCTAAAAAGCTTCTGCAGCTGGGCATTGTGGGACGTGCCTGTAACCCCCCACTCAAGAGACTGAGGCAGGAGGAAGGAGTTCAAGGCCAGCCTCAGCAATTTAGCAAAGTCCTAAGCAACTTAGCAAGACCCTGTCTCAAAATAAAAAATAAAAAGGGATTAGTATATGGCTCAGTGGTTAAGCACCCCTGAGTTCAATCCCTGGTAACAAAAATAAATAAATAGCTTCGGCATAACAAAGGAAACAATTAACAGAGTAAAGAGACATTCACAGATTGAGAGAAAATATCTACCAATCATACATCAGATAAAGGGCTAATATCCAAAATATACAAGAAACTCAAACTACTTAAGAACAAGAAAACAAATAACCTCATCAAAAAAAATAGGCAAAGGACATGAATAGACATTTTTCAATAGAAGGTATACAGTAGCCAATAACATGAAAAAATGCTCAATATCTTTAACCATCAAATAAATGCAAATTCACACCACAATGAGATAATATTATGTACCCATTCATTGGATATTATAAAAAGATGCAAGATAATATATGTTGGGAAGAAGGTGGGGAAATGGGAACCCTCATAGACTATTTATTGGTGGTATTATAAAAAGTTCTAGCATTCTACTGCACAGGATGGTGACTATAGGTAAAAATAACCAAAAGAGGGGATTTTAAATGTTCTTACCACAAAGAAATGATAAACATTTAGGTGAATGCTGTGTTAATTAGGCTGATTAAATCACTCTACAATGTATACCTGTATTGAAATATTACATTATACTCCATAAAATATAGAAATATCTCTCAATTAAAAATAAGATAAAACTTTAAAACTTCCTTCTTTTTCATTTTTCATAGTGTCATTATTCTGGGGACATATTAGGAGATCAATAAAAATCTTATTCTACTCTAAAGTGTATTTGCTGATGTCCTGTAAATAAATGTTCTTTGCAATACTTAGCACTGTGTGGATACAAAATTAAAATTACATATAGTGATCACTCTGTTCTCTTGGCAGGGAAGCTGGTAGTTTTCAGGGAGCTCAGTTAGAGCTCTCTTAGAGTGGGTGGGAACAAGTGTGTGTGCTCAGTGTTCTGCTGGTCCCTGCCTGGCAGGGGACGGGAGCTGTCAGAGGTGTGTGTAAATAGTGTTACCCTCTAGCGGATAGGGTCTAGACTAAGGGATCACTGGGAGACTCAAAAGCCACAAATGAACAGCTATGCCTGGTGGGAAGGCACTATTGAGACTAAGTTCAGGTTAGAAATGATGAACACTGACAGTCTCAACAGGCAAACCGTGTTCTTGTCACCAATAGTAGTCAAGGCATCTCCTCCTACCTACTTTCTCCTCCTACCTAAACCTCAAAGGGGAACTTATGTCATTTCTGTTTGAAATTTTGGATTTTCAATTCTCTGTGGCTCATCTAAAGTTCCTTCCATGACTTTAATAGTGTGTCTTTTTGGTTTTTGGTTTTTTTTTTTTTTTTTTTGGTACAGGGGATTTAACCCAGGCATGATTCACAACTGAGCTATATCCCCAGTGCTTTTTATTTTTTATTTTGAGACATCTCACTAAGTTGCTTAGCGCTTCACAAAGTTGCTGAGGCTGGCTTTGAACTTGTGATCCTCCTGCCTCAGCCTCCAGAGTCACTGGTGTGCGCCACTGTGCCCAGCAGTAATGTACTTTTTTTTTTTGGTGGTGGAGGAGTATACTGGGGATTGAACTCAGGGGCACTGAGCCACATCCCCAGCACTATTTTGTATTTTATTTAGAGACAGGGTCTCACTGAGTTGCTTAATGCCTCTCTTTTGCTCAGGCTGGCTTTGAACTCCCAATCCTCCTGCCTCAGCTTCTTGAGCTGCTAGGATTACAGATGTGTACCACCGCGCCGGGCCATATTAATGTACTTCTTCATAAAATGTGAAGAAAGCTGGGCATGGTGGTGCACGCCTATAATCCCAGCAGTTTGGGAGGCTGAGGCAGGAGCCAGCCTCAGCAATTTAGTGAGGCCCTAAGCACCTCAGGGAGACCCTGGCTTTAAATGAAATATAAAAGAAGGCTGTTGATGTAGCTCAGTGGTTAAGTGTCCCTGGGTTCAGTTACCAGTACCAAAACAAAACAAAACAAAACAAAAAGGAGACAAATACAGAAAAGAAACATTTCTGACCCTAGGTGGTGGCTCCAGTTCATCACAGTTGCAGGAACACCTACACATAGGGTTTTCCTGACGGCGGGATTCATGTTGAGTAAACAGCATGAAAATCTCTTCTTCTTTAAGAGGCACCCTTACCATACCTACCTGAAAGATAGAAAAGGATTCTCACACAGAGGGTAAAGGATGGAAAGAAATGTGAAAGGGTGGGAGAGATTTGCTTGAAGGCCAGCAGAGCCAATGGAGAAAGGTGGGGAACAGAGGGGTTACCTCCTTTAACAGCTTGTTTTTTAGGTGGTGCACGTTTACAAATGTAATGGAGTTGCAGCACTGGAAAATTTTCACCCCAGGGATAGTTGTAATCTGCCAAGGCAAAATGTGAAGTTGAAGGAAATTTCTCAATTATTTCATGCAACAAGAATAATTCATCTTTAGGGACTGAGGTTGTGGCTCAGCAGTAGAGCACTTGCCTAGCATGTGCAAGGCCCTGGGTTCCATCCTCAACACCACATAAAAATAGGTAAATAAAATAAAAGTATTGTGTCCAACTATAACTAAAAAATAAAATTAAAAAAAAGAATAATTCATCTTTAGAACCTTCAGGAGAATCCATATGCAAGAACCAGAAAGTTCTTTTCTCCCATTTCCATCCCTGATTCCCCCTACCTCCATTTCTCACTCCTCTCTTGATCTTGGTCTTCCTCTCCTTAAAATTCATTCAAAAGTGATTCTTAGCTGGCTGCAGCATGAGAAGGGTTCACCCACCTCTGCCCCTTGTTCATTGCCTCCCCCTCCTTTGTGAGTGTGTATCTGCAGAGCAGCTGACATTGGCAAAAGGGGTTCTGTAGAGAACTAAGCACCAGGCTCGGTGTACCCCATCCCCTGGGTCAAGAAATGGCTGCTTTGTCTTCTTACCTCCCGATAGTCATTGATGCTTCTGTAAATGTTGGTGTTAGGGATCTGACCCAGGATGAGAATCTTAGTTCTGAAAGGAAATGCACTTGCCTTAGGTCAAGGTGGCTTTACCTTGCTGTGGCTAACCTCCTATTACCTGAGACCAAGTACCTGTGTGAACGGAGAGTGGTGATGAAGAAAGCAAAAACTATCGACATAAGTAGTCCAATGTCCAATCCCAGGAAAATCGAAGATAAGAATGTAAAGATCCAGACAACCTTGTGGAAAAGGGGGTGAAGGGAAAGGGAGACCATGAAAACTCACAAAATCAAGAACATACCAGTCCCACCTCTCAAATGACCTCCACCTTCTCCCTTCCATACTTGGGGCGCAGGGACTGGGGTCATCTCCAACTGTGGGCCCTCAAGGCTGCCTGAAAGTCAATTCACTCTTGAAATTTCTGTTTCCTCAGGTGCGAAATAGTGATAAAGATCTCCATCTTATAGGCTTTGTTGAGATTAGAAATCCCATCTGTCTAGCAAACTGCAGCAACTCATCCCAGGGTAATAGTTATTTTAAGAACTATAAGAGTTACTGCAAAATTTTAACACCTTTTTCAAGTCCCTACCTGACCACCTCAGCAAGTGACCTTACCTTCATCTTCACAGGAAAAAAAATAAGCTGAAATTCTCTTACCTATTTCCTTCCCCCACCCCGCTGTCACTCGTCAGTATCTGCACTCAACTCTTGCTTGTTCTCTCTCGTCAGGTGGGAATACTAGCCTTCCTCCTGGACTAGAAACTCCATCTGTGCACTGAAACACATCCCCCTGAGCCTCTCAGGGATCCAGTTCCCCAAATTGCCCCCCTCTATTTCTCTTCCTCTACTGGGTCCTCCTCCTGTCATCACACTCTGCCCCTCATCTTTTCTTTCTTGCTCTCTGGTTTTGTGCCCCAGCTGACATTCTGTCTGGTAAGATACCTCCTTCTCTTATTAGAACTTGTATTTTTTTTTTAATTGTAGATGGACACAGTACCTTTATTTATTTATACGTGGTGCTGAGGATCGAACCCAGTGCCTCCAAGTACTAGGCAAGTGCTCTATCACTGAGCTACAACCCCAGCTTGTATCTCTTATCCAGGAAGATATTTATATTAACTGGACTAAAAGTCATTCGAATATGCAATGAACGACAAACCCTCTTTACTAGGTCTGTGTGTAACTGTAGCCATTTCATCAATCCCTTTCATTTAATTTTGCATAGTTAAAGATTTATGTTCCCTAAAAAAGTGCCTTATTAGGCTTTGTTAGGCCTTGTTATTGGGACATTTTCTCAGGTCTTCCGCCTCCTGGTAAACAATAATTAATTTCTGTCATTTTCATGATATTCATGGACAGGTTCCAGATGCTACAACTGCTATTTTGTATTAATCTTACTTCACCACTCATGTCTTTTTGTTTCTCTCATAGAAGTGCCCACCCTAGGTGACTTTACATCCTGTTCTTCCTGAACCAGATTTTTACCATGGACTCCTTGACCCACTCAGTTTCTAAAAAGGGACTCCAAACTGCGTGCCCACTGCACACCACCCCTTTTCAGCTGGAAGTAGCAAGAACGGTCATCGCCTTTTTCCCTTACGGCAGTTGGAAGTCCCTAATATTAGAGAAAAAAATTACGGTCAACATAGATGTTCGCCAATATGTCTAGCTCAGGAAGATGTACCTGGAAAACTACTCCCAAGATCACCCTGGGTGATCTCCCAGAAAGAGACACTTGTTCCACAACACAACTTATAAGTGGGACAACTCCCCGTTCACCAAAAATTGTGCTTCCCGGGTCTCACTTTGAAGTCCTTGCCTATATCTCCAAACTGTCAATAACTCTAAACTATGTAACCTACTATTTTGATGGAGTAAAAGGAAAAGAACACCCGGACTTATTAAAAGGCCAGGGCCCACTGATTTATCAACATAGACTGGCTGCCCCCATTTTAGTTCCCCTCCTAACTGGTTTGGGAATAGCTGGATCTACTGCTTTAGGACCTGCAGGTCTAACAAGCTCTAAAAATTTTAAGTCCCTCAGCCATCAAATAAATATAGATTTAGGAAAAACTAGAAAGGTCAATCTCCAAAGTAAAGCTTTCACTAGACTCTCTGACAGAAATAGTCTCACAAAACAGATGAGGTCTAGATGGTCTCTTTCTGAAACTTCAGACAATTGGTTCCAAAACCTATTCTAATGGTCCCCTTGATTGACTACCATCATTTCAGCCATAGTTGGGCCCCAAGTCCTTCTCCTGATTGGTATTACTATAGGACCCTGCCTCTTAAAAACCCTCCTAAACCATATACACAAAAATGTAGGTGAGGTCAGACTTATGGTCTTGCGAGCCCAGTATAGTCCCTTAGACACAGAAGGTTGGAACAAAAACTGAGGCCTAATGATGTGCAAGATTGACATCAAACCTACTAAAACCAGTGGGGAATGTGGTAGTAGGAGCAAATGTGACTCCATTTTGTTTTATGACTTCATCCTGTAAAACAACCATGCCAAGTAGAAGAGTCATGACTGGAGCAAGATGTTCTTTTCCTTTTGCTATAGAAACCTTTAAGAATACGGAACTACCTAATGGGGTATTGTTTCTGTAACTAGGGTAACGGAGCTCTGTTTCTATAACTGGGGTGACTGGGCTAACTGTGATTGTTTAGGCTCCCTTCCACTTGACTGCACTGTCCCGCTTCTGTAACCTGGCTTGCTTGCATTGGCTAGACCCCCTGAACATCCCTTTTGCGGTTTTCAGGCTTATAAGGAGTGCCCTTGCAATTGTTCAGGGCTGATCAGGGGAACAGCCTTATGTTCTGGTCAGCCGCCACTGGTGTGCTTCAATAAAGGCTTGATTTGATTATACGTGAGTGGTCTGGAAGTCAGTTTATGAAACCCTGGGACGAAGCTTTAACTATAACATAAGGACTCCATGTTTTCATGCACCAATAGCCTTGAGTGCAAGGGCTAGGTGCAGTGGCACACGCCTGTGATCCCAGTGACCTGGGAGGCTGAGACAGGAGGATTGCAAGTTCAAGGCCAGCCTCAGCAGCTCAGTGAGATCTTGTTTCAGAATAAAAAATAAAAAGGGCTGGGGGAGCAGCTCAGTGATAAACCACCCTGGGGTTCAACTAGAATACAAGGCACTAGAGTTGCTGTGTTATTCATATCCATGACCCATCTCTTCTGTTCATTCTCTCTCTAACCTTCCCCTCTCCCTTCCCTTGCTCAGCCAGGGCATCTACACTCACAAAGTCATATTGGTTCTGCTTCCACAGACTGGGTAGGTTGTAAATGGCTTCAAGGTAGGGCAGTACGTTGCTCAGAACAACTCCAGCCAGCACAGCCTGTGGGGAAAAGATAAACCCAGCTTCATTTCCCTTCAGTGGGTGGATGGGTGGAGTTAGAGCTCCCACCCCTACAAAGGAACCACAAGACGTCAGCCTTGCCACTCAGAAATATTTTATGTTGATATTTCATATGAATACCATATACGTGTTCCAACTCTTGGGTCAGCCCAAATAAATATTCTCCACATCTTTCTCTACTCTCCTTTATGATTTGTCAGACATTGAGGCAAGGTCAGGCCAAGCTCAAGGCCTGATAGATTCAGGCAGTAAAGCTATAAGGGACCCCTTTTAGTTTCAGAGAGTTTATTACTCACAGAGACAGAGGAGGAGTAGCCAAAGGTAACATCAGTGGTGTCACTGTGGTGACACCAGGACCTATGGGGAAGCTGGCTTCTTTGGCTACCTGGCCTTATCTCATTTGCTTGACAAATCTGTTACTCATATCATCTAGAAACCATTCTCAAATGGGATGATAAATCAAGAGAACTTCCACTCAGAGAAATTCTAAAATCATGTGTTTCTATTCAAGTTTAATCATGATATGCTATCATTATCTTACTAATTAGATCTTTTTTTTTTTTTTTGCAGTGCTGGGGATTGAACCCAGGACCTTATGCATGCAAGGCAAGCACTCTACCAACTGAGCTATATCTCCAGCCCCAAGATACTATTTTTTTTATCAATCAAGTTAAAGTAGCAAATTAAAAACATTGATAACACCCCATATATATGATTGTTGAGTATAAAAGGACACTGCCCTTTTGGGAAATCATTTGGCAATAGATCAAGACACAGTGATACACTGTCATGTAGAAATTTTGGAATATTGTGTTCTAGATTTTTAAAAATCAACAATACAAAATTGTATGTAGAGTGAGGTTGCAACTATGCAAAATGATATCTATTCACAGAAAATAATGTCTGGTTTGCCAGGCATAGTTGTGCAAGCCTGTAATTCCAGTGACTCCTGACGCTGAGGCAGGGGGAATCTCAAGTTCAAGGCCAGTCTCAGCAACTTGACAAGACCCTTAGCAACTTAGAGATACCATGTCTCATAGTAAAAAATGATTTTAAAAAGGGGGGCTGGGGATGTAGCTTAGCAATAAAGCATCAATAACAACAACAAAAAAATAAGGTTGGTTAAATATATGACAAAATGTTAATGATTTATTTGTAATTATTGGTGACAGGTGACATTTTTACCAATTGTGTGTTTTCCAAAATTTTTAAAATGAGACTACTTTTCTAATAGGAAGAATATTTCCTATATTTTGGAAAATTAAGATTTATACTTATAAGGATATAAAAATTATCGGGGCCGTAAAGGAGAATATAACATACCTTAAGACAATTTTCTCTGTATGTTCACAAAGTCCCTGAGTTGGTTAAACATTTCTTAGGCTTTTTCTAATTCCCATCTCTTTAACTCTGTCTGGGAATGAGAGCTTATTCTACCACTAGGAATGGCTGGGCCCTAGCTTGTTCTGGCTTTCTGAGGTATGGTTCTTTTCCACCATACCACCTTCTTTCCAGTCAAGAAGCTCCAAACTCTCAACAATTTGCAGAGACTTGGTGGGAAGGAAAAGAAATTTAACTTCATCAGAGATTTGTATAAGTTTTGACTTGAGGCAGAGGGCATGGAGAAGAAAAAATCTCAGAAAAAAATATAGAACAAAAACTTTTACCTTTGTAAACATTAAGGTAAAACATGTTCATTTTGTTAAAAAAAAAAAGAATTACACTCTTTCATCATTTCCATTATCAAAGAGACAACTATTTTTAACATTTTGGGGGCTGGGGATGTGGCTCAAGCGGTAGCGCGCTCGCCTGGCATGTGTGCGGCCTGGGGTTCGATCCTCAGCACCACATACAAACAAAGATGTTGAGTCTGCCGAAAACTAAAAAATAAACATTAAAATAAAAAAAATTTGGCGTGTTCTATATTTTTTTTCACACAAAATTGGAAATTACATTGAAATGTACTATTTTGTATCATGCTTTTCCAAATTTATGTTGGTCTTTTGGTAACTAGTTGAGATGCTAGCCAGGAGGCTCCTCTAATGATTCTAATAAGGATTTTGCAAAGAGCCATCTGCAGTCTTTTAAGGAAAGAAGAAATGATCCATAGTTTAATACCTGTACAACCTCATTGTTATAATAGTTCATATATTTCATTCATCAGATTGTATTCACATCTTCTCACTCAGAAATGTGCTAACAAGATAAAGTAAGAACAGGGCTGGGGCTGTAGCTCAGTGGTAGAGCACTTGCCCCTCATGTGTGAGGCACTGGGTTTGATCCTCAGCACCACATAGAAATAAATAAAGGTATGTGTTCCTCTAGAAAAATACTTTAAAAGAAGATTCAGTGAGGGCTGGGGATATAGCTCAATTGGAAGAGTGTTTGCTTCGAATGCACAAGGCCCTGGGTTCAATATCCAGCACCACACACACACACACACACACACACACACACACACACACACACACACAAAGGCACAGTAAGAACAATGTGGTGCAACATGGCCAGGCAAAAGTGAAGGATATCCTAGCTCCAACAGATTTATAATAAAGGAGTGCTACCTACTTTTATTACTACCCTTCAGTGAATTCTGACAGTTTTATTTGTTTGGAATTTTAATATTCTGCTTCTTTTAGCAGTAAAGAAAAAATACAACTGCTCAGAGTAAATTGATGAGTTACCCTTCTAAAACAGACTCCAGCAGTTACAACACAGAAGATACTGGGTAAACTGAGTTCTGGAGAGGACTTCTGCTGGGAATCAAAGAACAGCTCCTATGTTAAGGACAAGCTTATTAATCGCACCCTCCTTGAGAAGATACCATGCTTAGGCTCCAAGATCCTTAAGTCACAAGAGCAGAAGGCAGCAGCAACCTTATGGTGGACCTGCTTTAATGATACCTGACACCAGGTAGAGGTAGTGTTGAAGAAGATGGGGATGACATCTACAATCACTCCAGCTTTGGGGATGGCCACCTCAGGGTAATGAAACTGTTACACCAGGAATGAAACCTTCCCCCACCTCCCTAAGTATGTTATAAAATGGCTTAAGGGAACATTAAGACATAAATCTATATTGTTTATCAATACAGAAAACTGAGCAAGGATCTATATTGTAACTTAGAGCAAGTTGAGTACAGACAGTGATTAACACAACTGGCATCTTTAAGGGTCAGGTAAACAGTCTTATCCAAAGGGAAGAAATGGCACATTCATATCCAGAAGCATCCTAGTTGGACAGAGTTAAAACTCAACTATCAGGCCACCTTCAAGTGTTATGAATTAACCAAGAGGCAATGAGGCAGCAATGGGAGGATTGTGTTCACACGGAAGGCAGATCAAGGCCTTCCGGAAAACAGATGGCATGAGTTTCCAAGCCTGCACAGTGAGTTTCCAAGCCCGTACTGGTAACGGGGGTCTGGCATCTGAAATCTATGTTAGTAATTTTTTACTGATTCCTTATTTACAAAGCTTATTTTATAACTTAAGCAATAACAAGATAAGAATGATAATAACAATAATGTTTCTTGAGTGCTTACTATTACCCCAACACTATCTTCTTTTAAATATATATAAACACACTTCAGTATATCTGATATAAAAATATACAAATATATCTCATATTATTTCATTTAACTCCAACTGTATGATGCTATTATTTTAAAGAAAAAGGGCAAGAGATAGGTCAGGGCAACCTCTGGGGATAAGCTGCATGCAATTATCCATGCAAAAATGCCCCACCAGGATGCAAACCAGACATTCTATCTTTTTTTCTTAAACTTAGTTATTTGATAAGTTCTACTCACATTTGGCAGTTCGTAGAAAAACTGTGCCGCCTTCATCATCAGGAGCAGCATCACACCTGCGCCTACCAGAGATGCAAACTGAGGAAACAGAACCAGTTGGAGAGAAACCATCAGGAACATATCGGTCCCTGTCTGCATCTATGGCCTTCTGTGAGAAGCATGCCGTTTTTTTCTTCAAAGGAGTTGGGTTCAGAATAAGTGCATTTCTGTGGAGCTGACATTTTCCGTTCTTTTCAAAGTATTAAACACAGGAGGCACTCAATAGGTACTTGTGGAATGAATGTGTGAATGCTATCTGAAAGGTCCTAAATTTTCCTGAGCATTTGAATCCTTACTGTCCCAGCTCTGTGATACGTTATCTGAAGTCTCCTAAACTATGCCATGCATTTCTTCAAGACTTTAATTTCTCCTTGCATAATATATAAAACCCCCAGTAGGTCAGGCATGGTGGTGCACACCTGTAATCCCAGCACCTTGGGAGGCTGAGGCAGGAGAATTCCGGGTTTAAAGCCAGCCTCAGCAACTTGGTGAAGCTCTAAATACTCAGTGAGACACTGTCTCAAGATAAATAATTTTTAAAAGGGGCTGAGGATGTAGCACAGTGATTAAGCATCCTGGGTTCAATCCCCAGTATGAAAAGAAAAAGAAAATGAAAACACTAGACTCCTCCCTGATAGCCCTAGAATCCCAACCATTCTACTTTCCACGCAGATAACCATTCTCACTCTCCTGTGTGGAGCTTGAAAACTTCCTATCTAACAGTTTCAATGGTGCTTCACCTTGGAAAATACAATGATGATCACTTTTCATGTTCTGGCTTCAATTTCTCTCTCCTTCAATCAAAAAGGTTACCAACATGAGTCAAGCCTATATAGAGCTACTCTGGGTCCTATCCCAGTCCTATCTCTGGGCTTGGTAAACAGAGATGCTCACTCATCAAATGAAGCCGAGGAACACAATTCCCTTTATAACCCAAGGCTCTCTGGATATAAGTCTTGAACTCAGGACATTTCCTATTGGCAAATTCCCATTTTTAAGCCTCTAGTTGAAAAAAAAATAATACAAAGCAATGTCTTTTCCCACCGTGACGGGGAATGGAGTTGCAGTAAGGTAAAACTGTAAGCACAAGTCAAAATAATGGCCTGTATAACCAAGAACTGAGAGAGTCCCTCAAATCTTACCCTTTAAAGGGATATATATATATATATATTTGTTGATAGACTTTAATTTATTTATACATGGTGCTGAGAGTCGAAGCCAGTGCCTCACACATGCCAGGCAAGTGGCTACCGCTGAGCCCCAGCCCCTGCTCTTTAATTTTTATCTGGGAAAAGAAAAAACACCTTCCCGCTGGGCTCTCTTGCTACTCACTGTCATTTGCCAAATCAGCTTAACACTGAAAAGAAGACCAATGTGGCCTGTGTCCTATATCGTTCTTCCCGCCCCCTCAGGGGTCACAATTAAAGTGAGCAGCATAGGGCTGGGATTGTAGCTCAGTGGTAGAGCACTCACCTAGCATGTGCAAGGCCCTGGGTTCGATCTTCAGGACCACATAAAAATAAATAAAATAAAAAGATATTTTGTCCAACTACAGCTATAAATAAAATTAAAACAAAAAAGTTAGCAGCAAAACATGGAAAAGCAGAACCACAAGACAGACGTGTAGGAAGAAGGATCAGGAAAATGAATTGCTATTCCCAATCTTTTTTTTTTAATATTTATTTTTTAGTTTTTCGGTGGACACAACATCTTTATTTTGTTTTTATGTGGTGCTGAGGATGCAACCCAGCGCCCCGCGCATGCCAGGCGAGCTCACTACCGCTTGAGCCACATCCCCAGCCCATGCTGTTCCTGATCTTCAGAAAGCTCTAACAGTGAACATTTTATATGCTATAAAACTATACTAGGTAATCAACCTCCTAAGCCCCTCCAGTCAATCCTCAGGTCAACCAGTTGCTGAATATGATTTATTGCTCTAGCAGTAAAAAACTAATTCGATTAAAACAGGAAAGTATATCAGGTTTTTTCTTGCCTCCCATTTCTTTTCTCCAAAATTCTTCTGATTATTTGTTCTTTTTTTCTTTTTTGGTTGAACCCAGGGCTGCTTAAACACTGAGCCACACCCCCAGCCCTTTTTATTTCTGATTTTGAGACAGGGCCTCGCTAAGTTACTGAAGCTAACTTTGAACTTATGATCCTTCTGCCTCAGTCTCCTGAGCTGCTGGGATTACAGGTATGTGCTGCTGTTCCTAGCTCTGATTATTTATTCTTATTGTTTTTCAGACAGGCAGATGCCAAAATAAACCTAGATTGAAATAAGCACAAGTAGAATCTTGAGTACCATAAAAGTAACTGCTCTGAGACATTTGGAAGGCCTGTGATAACTGTGTGTCCTCCTTAGTGGTACATTCAAAAGAACGGGATTTGGGGTCAGAGGACCAGCCTTGGTAACATTGTGCCTCAGAAAGGTGCTCAATGACTCTCAGATTCTTGGACAGCAAGCACTATTAAAGTTCACATCTTCTGCATATTTTGCTTTTCTGTTCCAATTTTACACCACTCTTCCAGGCTTATCTCTAGTGATTTGAAGCAATGGGATCAGGACAGCAGGTTGCTGACCACAGGCCTGGGCACTGGGGACTGGGGGGCTATCATTTTTTAACATAACTCTTAAGTGACACGCACTGTGGTTGACACTATTAGCATCTAATTTTATTCTCACAACTGAAAGGTTGGTTTTATCTCCATTTTATGGATGCGGATGAGAGCCTCAGAGAACAAAAGTCATCTGCCTAAGGTCACACACATCTAGGAAGCACCGAGTCTGGTTCCTACACCCGGACCATCTGATTCCAAAATCTAGGCTCTCACCATTGCTTCATTTGCTTCCCTTAAAAAGAACACAACTAACACAACTATCCTCTTTCTTTTGTAATAACTTAGTTTTACCAAGTTCTGGGAGCCTGGGGACAAGGCAAGAAAGCCATTCCTTGGAAAGTAGGGAAGAAGGATAGGCACATGGAGACCAGGGAAGCACAGTAGTCGGAACTGGCAGATGCCAAAATAAACTGTTTAAAAACCTAGATTTTTATACAGAACAGAAAGATGAAGCGGGGGACACTCTAACTGGCCACAGACCTGGGGCTCATCTCATCCTCTCTGCCATGGGCCAGGCCTTCCCACACCTCAGGTTGAGGCTGTGGCTGGGAGGACCAGTAGGTTTTGCTTTTTGTTATGACAGTGGAGGGAAATGGGTTCTAGACAGGGAAACAATAAAGTGAAATGTGATCGTAGACCCAGTTTGAATTTATGCCAGATAAAAACTAAAAATAAAATTATCAATGGCAGGCCATTTGGGGGACATTCAGAGCCAGCCCCCAGATTTCTCAGGCAGAGTGAATAAAAAACTCCCAGAGGGAAGGAATAGAGAGAACACCCGCAGCTGTGTGAAGACAGAAGGCTAAATGAGTCTGGGGGGGAGGTCTTTTCCAGTCCAGACTAGAAATTCCTGGTGGAATCTGGACAGCTCCAATGTGTACAGACAGGGCCCACAACTTCTCTACTTGAGCCAGCAAGTTGAACTGGGCATATCAGGGAAGTGTTCACTAGCATCCCTGGGGACACACTTCCCAACAGAGGGCCACCACAGTGCAGTGAGAGATGCCCCTCAGAGGAAATGTGCCACACAGATCAACAGGCAGCAGCAGAAAACAGAGCCACAAGCTGCCTACTAAAATGGTAAAATGGACTGGCTTAGAGATTAGAAATTCCATCATCTTCTGCCAAAGTTCTTCCAAGCTTGGCTTCTCTGTTCCTCAAATGTGTGCAGTCAGCAAATCTATTCTTTCTCCAGCCCACCACATATAGATTTCCTGCCTGTAAGACAACTCTGAGGTTGACCCAAAGCCCTCTTTCTTCTATCGGTGCAAATCCTAAACCACTTTCAGGACTCTGGGAAAGGTCCAATTCCTCTACCAATCTCCTTCTCATAATACTTAAGGTGCTTTTTTTGTCAATTGTGCTCAATTTGCACTTGATTTTCCTTGCACTTTGATTTAGCTGTGTATATCTTGCCTTCCCAAATTTATGGGCACTGGATAAACAAAGTATGTGTCATAAAAAGTTAGTGGAACTAATTTCTGCGGTTGCCATTTCCATTTCTTCTTGTCATAAACCCATCTCATTTTGATTCCAAAGATTTTGCATGCTTGTATAGAACATTCTTCCTTTTAATACAGCCTACGCTCCTTCTTTCTTCCTCCAGTGTGCCAGGAGGAAGCTCTATGACCACAAAACTCAGTCTGCATAAAATGATAGGATGGAGCCTTACTTGAGCCCCTTGCTCTCACCCAGCCTAATCTTCCTTCTGGCTTTCACTGGTTTTCACCCAAACTTCATCTTATCTTTGCCAATGGACTATGACACTTTATCTTTCCCTATTAAAATTGAACTTCCATCCTTCTGATACATCAGGTTCTGACCACAGCTCTACCTTCTCACTATACTTGTGAGGCATGAGCTTCTCTTTGGCTTCTGGCCAGTTGTTTCACCAACTGAACCCTGACTCATTCCCTGGGTTTGCCCAGGCACCAATTCTGATAACTCCCTGCCATTTCATCACGCCACAGAACTAAGATGGGAGGCCTCTCATGCTTTCATGTTGTAACATTTATTTAGTCAGTTCAAAACTCATAAACACAGGACTTACAAAATTCCATGCCTGCAATTAGGGGGAGTTTGCTTTTAGAATCTTTTCTGTCAACCGTATCGTTCAGCTTACCAAACGATTAGTTCATTACTTCAGAATACCTGAAGAGAATCTGTCGTAGGTCATTTCCTCTTATACAGAGAGAGAATGGTCATAAATTCCTAGGCTCTCCTAGACAAACACCTGACTCTCTCTCAGGAAACCCCCTTGCCATGCATGCCCTTTGAAGAAGCCAGGAAAATGTTTCATTTGTATTATTGCTTTTCCAAACAATGTATGAGAATGCATTCTCTATAGGAAAAAAAATTAATAGCTGATGGTAAGTTTATCTGAAATATTGTTGTTCTTCTAGTATATTATGTGCAAAATGGGTTTCTGTGGGATAATATATAAAATCTCTTTGTATAGTAATATTTCCATAGAAAATGACTTTCAAATTCCACATTGACCAATAACTTTTAAAACAAAATCTGTGCAGGAATTAAGGCAAGTGTGGAATCCAAATTCTTCCAAGATGTCTTCCCCATCAAGCAAAACATCAAGACAAAATTAAGTCCACATAGTCCTATTCTATGAATATACATATGAATCGACACAAGTAGAGATAAAATTCTTTTTAAACATACCTGTTGTCTTCCTCCAGCTTTATCTTGGATAATAGTCCTGGCAATAGCAGCAGAATATACATAAGATTTGAAGAATGAACTGACAATATTGCAAAAGCCAATGGCTATTAGATCCTGTAAAGAAATGCAGAAACTTAAAGCCTACTTTTTGTTAAAGACTGTGGGATAATATATAAAATCTCAAAAAATTTGATAAAAAAACTAATACAACTTGTTTTGTTTATTCAGCTATTTATTTATTTTGGTATGCTATGTATTAAACCCAGGACCCCACACATGCTAGGCAGGTGCTCTAACACTGAGCCACATCCTCAGCCCACTAATTTTGATTTTGAGCAAAAAGCATGCTCTTTATTTCTTGTGTCTGAAGAGAGATTGTTTATATTGTTTCAAACAATAGATGGAAATATTCTTAGAAAGGACAAAAGGAAACAAGCAAATATGATTATCTAGATTAAATTGCATCTTCATTTTAGCTAGTTATCATCAGGAAAACTCTTCTTCAAGGTCATAAAATGAGGCCTTTTCCTTTTTATCCTCTTTCATGTGATTGCCAGGACTTTGAACGATAGGGAGACTAGCAGTGCTATTCTTCTCCCTTCTTTCTATACTACCTAAATGTCAAACTGGGAAAATGCTTTCTTCCCAAATAGTTCCCTCTTGACTTCCAGGGGAAGGACCAAACTCAGAGAAGTGGGAGAGTTTCCCTAAAAATAAATAAATAAATAAATAAATAAATAAATAGGCCAAAAGACAAAGAGGCCAACTTAATTACATATATTGGTAGAGAGTTTTGCATGTTATATTCCACAGCATTTCTTTTTAATTTAATTTATTCTTTTTTTAGTTATAGATGGACACAATACCTTTATTGTTTATTTATTTTTACATGGTGCTGAGGATCGAACTCAGGGCCTTACATGTGCGAGGCAAGCACTGTACCACTGAGCCACAACCCCAGCCCTCCACAGCATTTCTTATCATGCCTCAGTGTGTGGTTGGCTTCTAAGGACAGGGTGGACAGAAAGATAAAATTAACATGAGAGGAACTCTGCTGGCCGAGCAAAGAGATGCCATATGTCATCTTCTTGTCTCTCTGCGCCATATCTGTTCCTGTGGAACAACACTTATGTTAAATTTCAAGTGGCTTCAAAGTTAAATATTCCTCACTTCTCAAAAACTCTTTTGTGACTTCAGTCCAAAATTATAGTCCGAGTAACTCTTTGGTTAAAGAATCTAGCCTTCACGTTGGCAGGTGGCTCAGATTAGAGAGAAGACTTACAGGTCAGAAAAAGCAATGGTCTTCTCACCTGATTGGAGTTGATTCTGTAGTTGTGGAGACCAGCAATCTTCTTGCCCAGAAATATAACCATAAAGGAGCTCACAATAGATAAGGATATAGCTGGTAAAATAAGTCTAGAAAAAAAGTTGCTGAAATTTGGTAGTGAAGGAAACAGGAAGCTGAAACAAAATAGTGGAATTATTCCTGGATAGCAGGTGTGCTTTACTGGCACTCCTGCCATTTCATCCTTCTCCTCCAGGGCTAGCCCAGTGTTCCTCCCCTTCTAACCAAGAATACAGAAGAAGTAGAGCAACTGAGGCAGCAGCTTGCCAAAACTGCCAGCAAATCAAGCCAAGTTACAAATCCATCAAAAGAGCATATTAAGTTGTCTTCTAATTCCAAGTTTCTGCTATTTGATGACAGTCAAAATCACAGAACTCTACTCTTGATACTGTACCCATGAGTAGACCATAGGTAGATATGACATCAAGATGTTTTAGAGCTGAAAGGCCCAATGACTTCCTTTTTAGTCACACTTGCATTCTTCAGGGTATAATTTTAGTCATTGTCCTTTGTATAAATGGGTTCTCATTCCTACCCATGCTTTCCCTCCTGTAGTTTTGAGGTCAACAGAATGTTGAACCCATTTATAATACTCTAGCTCTAGAGTATTATATCCATTTTGCTGATAATCATTGTTATCTATTTCTACAAATTCAATACAGTCTATTTTTACTAAGATCCTATCATAGCAAACATTGCCAAACACATTTAAACCATGGCCAAAACTTCTTCCCAGGTATATCTCCTGTTCCATTGTTAACTGGGAAACTCTTGTTTAACGCAATAAACTTTCTTCTATCAGTATTACCCATCAGATCACTATCCAAAGAACTGAGGAACATCCTGATTCTCAAAGGAATCAATGCTTATCTATTCATGCATGTCTATTCATGACTATTCATGTTTTGTAATTTTACCTTGCTGTCCAGAGTATCTGTGAAGTCAGCTTGTGTGGTCAATTTTTGCAATACCATAGATCAAACCCAGGACTTGTATACACTAGCCAAGTACTGAGTTATACTCCCAGCCCTTTTTATTTTCTTTTGCAACAGGGTCTCCCTAAGTTGCCGAGGCTGGCCTTGACCTCATAATTCTCCTGCCTTAGCCTCCTAAGCAGATGAGATTACAGGTGAGTGCCACTGCACCCAGCTCTGTGCACTCAATTTTAAACTGTCTCTTCCTGAGTCCTGTGTTCTTAGGATCATTCACAAATATTTGATGTTTTATATTTATAGTAGAAAATTTTGAAATAGTCACAAAGAAAGAAGAATGTTATAATTAGCCCTCCTATACCCATCACCTACCTTCAACATATAATTCATGACCAATCTTATTTCATCTGTACCACTATCCACTGCCTATTGCAAGATAAGTTTGAAGAAAATTCTAGGCATTTTATCATTTCAATTGTAAATATTTCTGTGTACCTCCCTAAAAAAATCATACAACAAAAATTTACTGTCTTAATATTATCAAATAACCAATTAATTTTGAAGCTTTCCCAAATATCTTACAAATATATATTTTATAATTTGTTCAAATTAGAATCCAAATAAGGTCAATGCATTGCAACTGGTTGCTGTGTCTGTTAAATCTCTCTATGATTTTTCCCATCATCCTAGATAGGGGACATCTATGAAAACTTAAAGTGATCAACAAATATCCCACTTATGGTAACTTTGAAATAATCACTGTTTTTAGAGATCTATTTTTTGAGATAAGAGGTGAATGATTAGAAAGTGTAAAAAAAGTTTCATATGTCTATGTAAATAGATATAAAGGCTATATAAGCTCTAGAGTATTATTTCCAAACTATTTTAATGCATCTGCATTTGTGTGTGTGTGTGTGTGTGTGTTTGTGTGTGTGTGTGTGTGTGTGTGTGTGTGTGGTGCTGGGGCTAAAACCCAGGGCTTTGTGCATGCAGGGCAAGCACTCTACCAACTGAGCTATATCCCCAGCCCTACACTATGTCAATTTCATTGAAATATGTACATAATTGATAACTTGGGACTTAATGGGTTAATTCCCTCTCTATATCTTTTTCTTTTCTTCCTCGCAATTTTTTGTTTATTGGTTAAAGAAACCTGCTATTCCATCCTACTGTGTTTCCTACCATCCCTGTGTTGCAATTAACATGTTCCTCTGTTCCTTGTATTTTCTATAAATTGGTAGTTAGCCCTTCAGGTTTGGCCAGACGATTTTTTTTTTTTAAGGCAAAATGCTTCATAAGTGGTGGTATGTATTTCTGTTAGGAGGTAAAACAAACAAACAAACAAAAAAACAGTTTTTTTTAATGTTGGCAGATGATATGCTGATATCCCTTAATGGTAATATTCCATAATTCTAATTTTATAATTCCTTCTCCCTTTTTTAGCTGAACTACTTCTATAAAGTTAAATGTCTTATTATAAACTGTCTCGATGTTCCATAGAGCAGTTCTTACAGGAAAGGCACAATAAATGCCTGATTTTTCTCTTTTATTTTAGAATTTTTGAAAGAATGAGTTGGTTCCCTAGCAACTTCCAAAGGTGAAAAAATAAGTTTATTTATTTAGAATTTTTACATAGTAATGATTTTAAACACATTTGATGTCTTTGGCCAGTAAAAACCTCAAAGTAATCTATGGATTCAGTGCAATCATATTAAATTCCCATTGGCCCCTTTTGCAGAAATGGAGATGCCAACCCTAAAATTCACATGAAATTGCAAGGACCCTGAAAGCCAAAGTGATTCAGAAAATGAAGGATTAAGCAAGAGGACTTGCATTTCTTAATTTCAAAACTTTCTACAAACAACCTATAACAATCAAGACTGTCCTAAGGGTAGACATATAGATGAGTGAAACAGAATTGAGAGTTTAGCAATAAACCCAAATGATGCTGGAATAACAAGGTACTCACATGCAAAAGAATGAAGTTAGACCCCTACTGCACAACATATACTTTTTTAACGCCTTTTAAAATTTAAAAAAAAATTTTAAAATCCCTTTTTAACTCAAAAGGATCAAACACCTAAATTTAAAAGCTAAAATCATATGACTCTCAGAGGAAAAGTGAGGGACATATCTTCAAGACCTTAGATCCACACAAGTGATGAAAATAAATAAATGGAACTTCATCAAAGCTGAAAACTTTTATGCTTAAAAGTACCAGTAAAAGGAAAAAACAACTTACAGAATGGAAGAAAATACTTGCAAATCAAATATCTAGTAAAGCTATGGTGTCCAGAATACGGGAAGAACCTTTACAAATCAACAACAAAGAGACAAGCAACCCAATTAAAAATAGTCAAAGGATTCAAATAGAAATTTCTGCAAAAAAAGATGTACAAATGGCTAGTAATCACGTGAAGAGATGTTAAACATCATTCGTCATTAGGGAGATGCAGGTCAAAGTCAGACTGATTTGCCACTTCATATCTTCTAGTATAATAAGAAAAAAAAAACCAGAAAATAAGTATTGTGAGGATATAGAGAAATCTGAATCCTTGGGCATCATTGCTGTTAGAAACAAAGTTGTGTAGCTACTATTGAAAACACTTTGGCAATTTCTCAACAAATTAAATACAGACTTACCATATGACCCAGTAATTTTATTCCTAGATATATACCCAAAAGAATTGAAAGTAGATGCTCAAAAAAAAGCATGCACATAAATGTTCATAGCAGCACTATTTACAATAGCCAAAAGGTCGAAATGACTGAAATGTCCATCAACTGATGAATGGATAAACCAAAAATGTGTAGATTTGGGTTGGGGATACAGCTCAGTTGGTTAGAGTGTTTGCCTCACAGGTACAAGGCCCTGGGTTCAATCCCTAGCATCACAAAAAAAAAAAAAAAAAGAAAGAAAGATGTGTAGATTTGTGCGATGGAATAGTATTCAGCCATGAATGGGAAATGTACATGATGGGTAAATCTTGCAAACATTATGCTGTATGAAAGAAGCCAGACATAAAAGACCAATTGTATGATTCCATTTATATAAAATGTCTACAATAGGGAAATCCACACAGATGGAAAGTAGATAAGTGATGATCAGGGACTCTGGGGAGGAACAACTGGAAGTGATTGCTAACAAGTATTTCTTTGGAAGGGTTGATGTTTTAAAATCAGATAGTGGTAGTGCTTCAATAATTTACGAAAATTAACTATACACTTTAAAATTTTTTTTAAAATATTTTTTAGTTGTAGTTGGACACAATACCTTTATTTATTTATTTATTTTTATGTGGTGCTGAGGATCAAACCCAGGGCCTCGCACGTGCTAGGCGAGTACCCTGCCACTGAGCCACAACCCCAGCCCCTAACTATGTACTTTCACAATCCCAAGCCCTAACTATGTACTTTTAAAGAGTTAATTTTATAGTGTGTAAGATAACAAGAGAATATTATAAAATACTTTATGCCAGTATATTTGGCAACTTAGACTAAATGGACAACTTCTTTGAATGACCAAAACTAACAAAGTAGTCTCAAGAAGAAGTAGATATACTGAATCAGATAATTACATAATTTAATAATAGTTTTTAATAAGTAGTATATTAAAATTTGAATTATAGTTTGTTTAGGGATTGAACCCAGGGTGCTTAACCACTGAGCCACATCCCCTACACCTTTTTAAATACTTTATTAGAGACAGGGTCTTGCTGAGTCGCTAAGTGCCTCACTAAGTTGCTTTTTAAGAAGCATCCCACAGTGAAAGCCCCAGGCCCAAATATCTTCACTGGTAGATTCTACCAAATATTTAAGGAAGAAATAATGCCCATTTTCTATAAGTACTTCCAGAAACTGAAAACGAGGGAACATTTTCCAAATCCTTCTATAATGTCAACATACTCTGATACTAAAACCAGATGCATACTACAAAAAAAAAAAAAAACTTCAGACCAATATTTCTCATGAATATAAATGCAAAAGTTCTTATTATTTCAGCAGATTAACATATTTGATAATATATGGGAACCAAATGGGGTTTATCCCCATGCAACCTTGGTCTAACATTCTAAAGTGATTTAACTGATTAAAGAAGAAAGAGAAATCTGATGATTTTGGAGGAAGCATTTAATAGATCCAAACTGGCATAATTCTTTAAACCTAATTCGGGAGCACAAATATGCTTCATTTTCCATTCCTCTAGATTATTAAGTCAGAAAATAAATCTCCTGTTTTAGATAAGGTTTGCTATTTGAAATGTTTATTCTTTTCATTGTCTTTTATTACTTAATCAATGACTCAGTAGTTGATTTACTTCCGAAAAAATGTGTAAAGATCCAAATTGAGTAAAATGAACAATATGTTAATCCATTTGATAAAATTTCTTAAAATTTTTTGTGGTATATTTTTGTACCACAAAGTAAATAATAGCATATATAATAAATTTCTTTATAGTTCATGCAGTTTAAATTGCATTTTCCTTTCAGTAGACAGAATCCATTTTTAGCATTTGAGCTAAAATATTTGTTTTGGTACAGGGGATTGAACCCAGGGGCACTTTACCACTAAGCCATATCCCCAGCCCTTTTTATTTTTTATTTTGAGACAGGGTCTCCCTGCCTTGCTAAGCTCAGAGGCTGGCTTTGAACCTGTGATCCTCTTGCCTCAGCCTCCAGAGCCACTGAGATTACAGGTGAGGGCCTCTGACCCTGACCCATTTTTAGCATCTTGAACAGCTACTTCCTCTTATCTTCCGGTCTCTCACATTATTGTGTGCACAAATCTAAATTCCTATTTTTTTTAACAATTTTTTTAGATGTTGATGGATCTTTATTTTATTCATTTATTTATATTTGGTGCTGAGAATCGAACCCAGTGCCTCACACATGCTAGGCAAGTGCTCTACCACTAAGCCACAACCCCAGCCCCCTAAATTTCTATTTTTGAATATCTTTTTCTTTCTAACTTTTTTTTTTGGCGGGGGGATACTGGGGATTGAGTTTAGGGGCACTCGACCATTGAGCCACATCCCCAGCCCTATTTTCTTTTAATATATATATTTTAGTTGTTGATGGACTTTTATTTTATTAATTTATTTATATGCTATGCTAAGAATTGCAGTGCCTCACACATGCTAGGCAAACACTCTACACTGAGCCACAACCCCAGCCTCCCTAGCCCTATTTTGTATTTTCAGAGATAGGGTCTCACTGAGTTGCTCAGTACCTCGCTGTTGCTAAGGCTGGCTTTGAACTGGCATTTCTCCTACCTCAGCCTCCTGAGTCACTGGGATCACAGGCATGTTCCACCATGCTTGGTTGAATATTTTTTCTTTGCCATCCAACTCTGTCTACTTTACTTCCCTACTTTATAACTTCCAAGCACCTTGGTATTTCCAGGCAATAAGCTAGATAGGAACATACCTGAATGCTTAGAGGCAGATATTAAAGTTTTTGTTAAATTCACCTTTTTTTTCCTTCTTTATTTATTTATTTATTTATTTTTTTTTTGTAGATGGACAGCATGCCTTTATTTTGTTTGTTTATTTTTTATGTGGTGCTAAGGATCGAACCCAGTGCCTCACACGTGCTAGGCAAGTGCTCTACCACTGAGCTACAGCCCCAACCCTTTTCTTCTCCTTTTTAAGAAGTTAGGTAAGAATGTTGTTGTCCCAAAGAGGTACACAGTAAGTGTAGTTTATTATTCAAATCTAATTAGTAAAGACTGAATGTTTAGTGCGTTAACAATATAAACTGCTATTTTTTTTCTTCCTACTATTCTCTGTGACACTCAACCCTTTTTAGCAAATTAGGTTAAGAGGGAACATGGACATGGCAGGAACTAACTTAAATTGCTCAATTGTACTAGTCCCTAGCAACCATGAATAAAATAAAGGCTTTAAAAACAAAGAGCAAAGTAATGCTTAAAACTAGATTTTTTTGAAATGCTGACTTGTCTGTGTCTACCTTTACAAATTATGATAAAAGATAAAGAAAAATTGGCTGTGTGGCTTTTAAGTCATTAATAATAGAAGCACACTGAGTAAGAATAATAGTATGGTTATGCTCATAGACTTGGAATTAAATAGAAATGAATTCAATGGTGGCTCTTCCACTATCTTCCTGTCTTATCTTGGAAAAGTCATTTAAACTTGGTAAGACTTAGCTTCTTCCAACATAAAGAGAAGGTAATATGTACCTCACAGTGTTACTGTGAGGAGAAAATGAAATAAAATAAATAAGTGCCAATCCTCTTGTTGTTCTTGTTATTTTTTCAGAGGATAGAGACTACATCTTGCTTATCTTTGTATTCCCTGGTACCTATGTGGTGTCTATTTGAAATTCTATTGAATTTCAAATGGATTTAGCCATCATCAGATTTCATTGAGAACTAGTGGAATATGAGACTAGTTCAATTTGGTTTCATCAAATTTGGCCACATTTTGTTACCCTGGAGTTGTAGCTGATATCCCTGACTCCACAGCAATCCCCACTGTCCAACTCAAGGAAATTAACAGTGTTCTTCAAAAGCCTACCTGTGAGTCAAGAAACTATAGTCAGGCATGGTGGTGCACACCTGTAAACCCAGCAGCTCAAAAGGCTGAGTCAGGAGGATCTTGAGTTCAAAGCCACACTTAGCAAGGCCTTAAGCAACTTAATGAGCCTCTGTAAATAAAAAGGACTGGGGATGTGGCTCAGTTGTTGTGCATCCCTGAATTCAATCCCTGGTACCCAAAACCAACAACAACAACAACAAAACCAAAACAAACAAAAAAACCCTTCTGGTCTACTCCTTTCTTAGCTAATGCAATTCACCTGATCAAGGCTTATAAATTATTATAATTTTCTAACAGAAGCAAGAGTCACTGGTAGGAATTATAATGAAAATTAATTGTGAGTCCTTCAGAATTCTATGTCACACATTTGAAGGTAACTTTGTATCCAGATTAAGAAAACAATGTTTCTGCTGGTCATAGTAGTGCACACTTGAAATCCCAGTAACTCCAGAGGCTGAGGCAGGAGGATTCCAAGTTTGAGGCTGGCTTTAGCAACTTAATAAGACCCTCAGCAACTTAGCAATACTCTGTCTCAAAACTTGTGGGCTGGGGGTGTGGCTCAGTGGTGGAGCACTTATCTGGATTCGATCCTCAGCACCACATAAAAATAAATAAATAAAATAAAGGTGAAAAAGGGGGAGAGATTCGGGCTGGGGTTGTGGTAAAGCGCTTGCCTAACATGTGTGAGGCCAGGCCCTGGGTTTAATTCTCAGCACCACATATAAATAAATAAAATAAAGATCCATTGACAACTAAAAAAATATTTAAAAAAAGAAAGGGAGAGATTTTTTTTAAAAAAATTAAAAAGGATGTAGCTCAGTGGCAAAGCACCCATGGGTTCAATCGCCAGTACCAAAAAAAGAAAAGAAAAGCATAGTGCTCAACAACACAAGTTAAGTCTTAAGTGAGTGAAGGCAGAAAGCACATTTCTCTCCTGAACATGGAGTCCCAGAAGAGAGGCTGGAAAAACAGAGGTACCGCTTGTCCACCTTTGAGAGTTAATCTGACAGGTATGGAGGTTGAGAAGACTTGCAATACCTATGGAAACAAATGTGAGTCTCTGGGCATTCAACAGGTTGGTTGGGTGAGGGGATCAGCTCAACCATGAGAGACAGAGACCCACCTGAGAAAGAACAAAGAGTCATCCTAACCCTCCTCAGCTCATGAACCTCAGTGTTCTAAAATGAGTCTGATCATGGTCATATACTATTTGTAGAAAATATCATTAAGACTGTGTGGCCAGAGGCTAAGAGAGGGTATCAGAAAAGGGAAAGTAGTCCTGAAGAGTAGAATTACTAACCTATATGGAATGATCTCAATGAAGTTACGGCTGGTTTCTGTGACCAGGTTTATCTTGTGAGCAAGTACAGTGAAGCCAAGAATCTGCAGGGAGTTAAAAAAAAAAAGCATAAGATTATCTAAAGATCATGCATTGTTTCCAGTATCAGAGATGCTCATAGCCTCTAGCAGGGCAGGAAAAGAAGCAAGTGAAGTCTTGCACAAGAACTAGATGGAGGCCTCAGTGGGACAGGGAAGGCAGAGGTCCTTCCTGATTCTTTTGATTCTCTAAAAATCCTTTTAACATTGTAGCCAAATCAAGGTCAGCCTTGATCTCTGCCACAATGATGGGAACAAATGGATGCCATGGACTTAAATTTATCTCTCCCACAACCTTTAAATGACTACAGCAATATGAACATGTTGCCACATAGTGGTTGTATCAAGGTCTCACTTTTTAAAAGTTTTTAGATCCAGGTATATTGTACTAATATAGGTAAGTCTTTTAAGGAATTGTTGAGGTATATTAGTGAGAATTGAATGTCAAACCCTTAATAATAGAAAGCAGCATTTGATAGCATCAAGAAGAATGTCTTTAGCAAAGTAATTATCTGTTTTCTCCCCCACCCCCAAACTTGTTGTAAAAACTGCAGTTCTCTCTTTAGTCCCCAACTTTCAACTAGAGGGAAAATAGACAGTCTAGTAAGCCATATACCTCATCATAAAGGTTTCACATCAAAGCAAAATAAACCAGAGACAAGAAACCTCAATGCCTCAATTTTGTTTGTTTGTGAGATGGAACCCAGGGCCTCAGGCATGCTAAGTACCAAGTTTTAAGATAATAATTACATTGTTGCTTTATTCCATTCTCTCTCTCAACACATAATTCTTTTTCCCAGCATCTGCTCCAAGAGTTCAACCTGACACAGAGCAGGGCAGCAGTTGGCTTATCTGTGATGCTACAATTTAATGAAATGTCCAGGGACAACAACTGGGAAATGTAGGGGGCATGTGGATATTTGGTGAACTTTGTGTCTCTACCACGGAACATTACTTAAGGGGAAAATAATTCTCAGGGACAGCAATCCCAATGTGAAAAATGCTAATGCTGACTTTAAAATACGGAGCTTTATTTCTGAAAATGTCTTCTTCACAGTAGAAATGTTAATTTATAACTACAAAAGATAAATCTTCTTTGCAAATTTAAAGAAAGAAACAAGCCACCTTTTAATTGGACAGCAGTGATCCCCAGCTCTGCTATTTACTAGTCACATGGATCAGGCAAAAATCAAGATCCCATCTACCCCATTTTCTTTATTGTATAAATGAAAGAAGGCTGAATAACACTGTGGTTGCAACTATATCAAAACAGAAACAAAATTTCTGCATAGAAAATGGGAAAATTGTCAGTATTCACCTATACTATATAGGTATATACTATACCTATATTCACACACCTATTGTGTGTTGGAAGTAATAAAGGAATTAATAACTGAAAATACAAAAGTATTAATAGTAATTGACTTTGAGCAGTTATAACCATAGGAATTTCTTCCCCCTGTTTTTTAAAACCTTCATATATTTTTCAAAAATTCTAGAATGAACCTGTATTACTTTCATAAGGGGAAAAACCCTATTTAAAAAATATTATAAGAAAAAAGTCAATAAATATAGTACTTTAAACAAATTTATTATCATTATATTAGTGTGTGTGTGTGTGGCACTGGGAGTTTGATCCAGGGGCACTCTACCACTGAGCAACATCACTAACCTGTAGGGTTTTTATTTATTTATTTATTTTATATTTTAAATTTTTTGAACACAGGGTGTCACTAAGTTGCCAAGGGTGGCCTTGAATTGAGAGTGAGGCCATCCTCCTGCCTCACTCTCCCTAGTTGTTGGGATTACAGCTGTGCACCATCACACCCAGCTAAAAGTACTTTGAAAATAAGTTTTTTTGAGGGGAGATCTATTGTACAGAATGGTGGCTACAGTTAATAATAATGTGCACTTGAAAATTGCTAAGACAAGAGATATTAAATGTTCTCACAAACAACAAAATGATAACTGCATAAGGTAATAGCAGTTTTAATCAGCTTATTTTGACTATTTCAAAACATGTTGTACACAGGAAGAATGTACAATTTTTATTTGTCAACTATACCTGAGTTCAAAAAAATTTTTTTAAAGAAAATAAACATTTTACCAATGTTGGCATATATTTTAAACTAAGGGTATATTTGGCTTTGACACAATTCAACATATTTTTTTTCACATGTGAACATTAAATATGTGATAAAGTATGTATTTTAAACCACAGGTGTGAAGATGAACTTTTTGATAAATAATGCAGGAACAACCTGTTAGTCAATTAGGAAGAGCTAAAACTCCATTCCTTAAGCAGGAACACACTACAAATGGTCAGTGATGTAAATGTAAATATTGAAAATCTATCAGGATTAAAAAGAAATGTGTGAATTCCCTTGTAACCTAGGGATAAGAAGAATTTCCTGACTTAAAATCCAGACTCACAAAAAAGAAAATTTGACACATTTAAGTATCTTGAAATATTTATGTTACAAAAAACACAACAGGATGGGCTGAGGTTGTGGCTCAGTGGTAGAGCACTTGCCTGGCATGTGTGAGGTACTGGGTTTGATTCTCAGAACCACATATAAGTAAATGAATAAAATAAAGGTTCATGAACAACTTAAAAAATATTTTAAAAAACCACAACAGGCAAATAAAAGAGATCTCACTATATTTATTTTTATGTGGTGCTGAGGATGGAACTCAGTGCCTCACACATGCTAGGCAAGTGTTCTGCCTCTGAGCTACAACCCTCACTGTTTTTTTTTTTTTTTTAATTCTTAATTTTACATTACTCTATGAACCTTTGCCTTCCTGAGCTATTTGCTTTCTATTTATTTATTTACTTTAAAAGTAGATATTTAAAATGATGTGAATCGTGAAATTGGGACATCAAAAACACCTACCAGAATTAATTCCATTGGAAAGTTGATGGGATATTGATTGAAAGAAACTTTGATACATTTGTTGATTCTCAGAGCAACAGCAGTAGTTAGAAACAGTAGAATGCTGGTGGAATTAGCTTTGGGGAGACCTATACAGTAGTTCACTATGTTCTGAAAGAAAACAAAATTACAGAGGCTTAGAAAGAGATAGTAATTGCCTACATCTAGAAACGGACATTTTTTTTTTCTAGATTAGTTACAAAACAAGCAGTTCTAGGACAAGGAGGGCAAGTGAGGGGGCTGGAAGCTGATATGTATTTTTTAAAAATTAAATAAGAGATATTAAAGGAGCTGGGGGTGTAGTTCAGTTGGTAGAGCCTAGTATGTGCAAGGCCCTAGTACCTTGAAAAATTAAAAAAAAAAAAAAGATCAAAAGAGACAGGATAGTTCAATAAAGTGACTTTATGTTTCAGTGTAACAACACAACAACAAAAACCTAGGAGTTCTACTTATTAGCCTATTCATTATTAATTTTCCCAAGCCATATGTGTTCTTTAACTGAGCTTCTATTTCTTTCCTACATTCAGGGACTACTTTGTATTTTATATCCTGCAATTGTTTTAGGATATGTGTCTGTAATGAGGCATGTATTGGGAGAATTATGATAGATACAGTAGTAACTTAAAGTCCAAATTATAATGAAAATTATGCTAGGCTGAAATGGTTATTGCAACTGAGAACATGGTCCGACTGACTATCTGCAGTTAACCAAGACTCTAATAAGTCTACGACTTGCTTGACTGAGCTGCCTCTCAGCCACATCTCCTTTTGGGAAAGGGCAGAAGTCTCTTTACTTGGTCCACTTGTTTTTGCAGGCCAGGAGCTGGGTGAGGGGTGAAGTTACTCACATAGAAGAAGGAGATGGGACCAGCGTGGAAGCTAATTACAATCCCTAAGATACAAGTCAGCTGGGACAGCATGATGTGCAGAGCGACAGCAGCTAGGTAAGCACTGATCAGCGCCTCCGGAAGGTAAGCAGACAGAAAGCCCATACCAAGCACGCCCATAGATATCTGCAAGGGGTTCAGATGGAAAAAGAAAGCCAGAAAGGGGCATCAAACCAGAAATGGCACCAAAGACACTCATCAGGGGCCCCCACGACTCCTTATCAGAAAGAAGAGTTTCCAACCAAGAAGTTACGGTAGGCCCCTTTGAGAACTTTTCTGCCTTGCTTTCCCCAGTGAATGGAGACTCACGGAATAAGCTGGGCCCTGGCCTGTGGGCTCAGAAGTACCCAACGAGCATGAGACCACACTCCTTTCTTCCCGAGCACTGTCAGCTCTCAGGTTCTTGCTCTAGAATCTACTGCCCTCTAGGTTGACAAGAAGGAAATGCTGAGAGGTGACCGCAACAAGCCTTTATCCTTTCAAACCTTTCGTATGTTAGCATCCCTGTGAGGAATGCAGCTTTTCACAGAGGAAAGGACAATAAACTGGCATCCAGTTCAAACTCCTTGGCCTTTGACTCTTACCTTTACTAAGAATGACTAAACTGAATCTATTTATGTCTTCAGGATTCATGTAATCCTGAACACATAATTAAGATATAATGCAGGTTAAGTATCCCAAATGCAAAAACCTGAAATCAAAAATTGCTCCAAAATTCAAGTTTTTGAGTGCCAACTCAATTCCACACCTGACCTTACGTGATGGGCTGCAAAGCGTGAGCGCACTAAAAATATTGTAGAAAAGTTACCTTCAGGGTAAGTGAACAAGGTGTATATGAAACATAAATGACTTTCATGTTTTGACTTAGATCCCATTCCTGAGATATCCCCCTCATGTATAGGCAAATAATCAAAAAATCTGAAAAAAATATGGAATCCAAAACACTCTGGTCCTGAGCATTTCAGATAAGGAATACTTAACCTGTATTTTATTCTATTTTTATTTTTTAAAAATATTTACTTTTTGGGCTGGGGATGTGGCTCAAGTGGTAACGCACTTGCCTGGCATGCGTGGGGCGCTGGGTTCTATAAAGACGTTGTGTCCACCGAAAACTGAAAAATAAATATTAAAAAATTCTCTCTCCCTCTCTCTCTCCTCTCTAAAAAAATTATTAAAATTACTAAAAAAATTACTAGTTTTAGGTGGACACAATATCTTTATTTTTATTTTTTTAAAATATTTTATTTTTTAGTTGTAGTTGGATACAATACCTTTATTTATTCTTATGTGGTGCTGAGGATCGAACCCAGGGCCTCGCACGTGCTAGGCGAGTGTGCTCTACCACTGAGCCACAACCCCAGCCCTTAACCTGTATTTTAAATGTGTATTTTACATATGTGTGTGTGTGTGTATATATATATATATATATATATATATATATATGATAAAAACATGTTATATAACATACAACATATACACAAATGATCTTCAAGGATGACATCAAACTCTTAAACTTCAGGAAATGAAATTAGAGATTGAGGACACCAATTTATATACATTTTCACTCTTTGAGGTTTTTTTCAATGTGTATGTCCATTTTTTATACTTAAAAAAACCCCTAGGGTTATAAAATGGGTGCATACAGGGTACATTCCAAACCCCCATAATAGGGTATGTTAAGAACTCTGGCACAACTTCACAAAAACAATTCAGGAAAAGGTGAAGATAGAACAAAATGGAAGTTTAAAAGCTAACTATTGTTATCACTTCATCCTTCACTGCACTAAAATGCTCAGAAAACAAACTTAGAACAATAAATCCTTTGGTTTTAAAAGATTTTTGTTTCAAAACTCTCAATCAGCCTGCCCTGTGTCTCCTTTGATCTGTCAGTACTGCCCAATACACTCTAACTCCAGGTAGAGCAAGCTGCTTCTTATTGTCAGTGTGGTTGGCTGATTGCCACCTCTGTGTTTATGAACCAACCCTTCTGTTTTGCCATCTTGGCCAATATAGGTTCACTATCTCTTTCGAGAGCTCAGTCCAATTCTTCTTCCTTAGGGGGTTTGGTGAAAACAGCATGGTTCTTGGGTCTGGAGAACCCAGCTTCAATATTGGGTCCTGCCAACTCACCAAGTGTGGACACCTTGACTCCCTGAAGTTTGGTTTTTGTCATCTTTAAACATGAATAAGGGCTAGGGTTGTGGCTCAGCGGTAGAGTGCTTGCCTAGAACATGCGAGGCCCTGGGTTCGATCCTCAGCACCACATAAAAATAAATAAATAAAGGTATTGTGTCCATATACAACTAAAAAATAAATATTAAAAAACATGAATAATACTACATACATCCCCATGATGTACAATCACAAGAATGGAAAATTATTCTTCATGTATGTATAATATGTCAAAATACATTCTACTGTCATGTATAACTAAAAAGAACAAATATAAAAAAGCAGAGGTAGAAAAAATACCAAATACAGAGGGATATGGATTCAATTATGTAACATATGTACAACACCTTGCTCAAATATGAAAATAGTGACAGACACAAATACTCATCACTCATTTTCATACCACCCTTTCCTTCTACCTTGTAAATGGCAAATGTCCACTATCAACATAGAATTCCCTCTGGCCCACTGTGATATGGCATCAGGTTTTGTGTTGGCATAAAATTCTAAGCAGCCATTATCAACCAGTCAGAATCAGCCTGTGAGACAAAACTTATATGAAAGAATTTTATAGAAAAAATTTATAAAAAGATGTATTTTTAAAAAAAGTGTATGTGGAGGGGCTCAATAGATAGTTATTTCCTTCCCAGAAAACTCCATTCCAACTAAAGGTTATTCTTTGACTTCACGGGCACAGTCTCCACTTTTATAAGTATTATTTTATGCTTTAACACTACCTAGAGCACCAATTCTGGAGGCTGAGAGCCCTGAGACTGAATCTGAGTTTGGTATCTTGAGTCTGTGTGTCCTTGGGCAATCTATTTAACTTCTCCCTGCCTTTGGGTCCATAAAATAAGGACCACTATTAATATATACCTTCATAAAGAGAGTTACTGTGAGGATCAAATGAGGTAGTACATGTACAATGCTTAGAACAGTGAGCAGCAATAAATATTAGCTATTATCTAGTTCAGACTTCTATTTTTAAGTTAAATGTTAGATGGACTTGCAGACTTAAGAAACAATACAGACAGATCCATATACTCTTTATCCAATTTTTCCCAATGATAACATCTTGTAAAACAGTATCACAACTAGGAGATTAACATTGACATGGCCAAGATACAGGATAATTCTATCACTACAAGGACCCCTCCTGAAGCCACGTTATGACTGTCCCCGTATCCCTCTCACCCCATTCTAACCCCCAAGCAACCACTTATCTGTTCATTTCTATAATTTTGTCACTTTCAAGAATGCTACATATGTGGAGTTACACATTATGTAAACACTCCTATTTTTAATTTCATTGATTTTTACTTTTTTTAAAACTTTTTTTCCTTTTGTCTGTGTTAGGTTTAGTTTACTCTTATTTCTGTAAGTTCTTGAAGTTGGAGCTTAGATTATAGAGACTTCCTTTCTTCGCTTGTATTTCAGTGCTATAAATTTCACCCATAGAACTGCTTTAGCTGTGTCCCACAAATTTTGATAAATGCCTTTTAAAAAATTCCCTTGATCTTTTTTTTCTGTGATCCATGGATTATTTATAAATATGTTGTTCAATTTCCAAGTGATTGGAGATTTTTATGTTCACTTTTTGTTAATGTGTTCTAGTTTGATTACACTGTGCTCAGAGAATACTCTCTGTCTGGTTTAAATTCTTTTAAGTGTTAAGGTTTGTTTTATCACTGGGTATTAGACTATCTTGGTACATGTTCCGTGGGTCATTAAAAAGAATGTGTATTCAGCTATTATTGAGTGGAGTGTTTTGTAAATATCTTTTAAATTCTGTTAATTTGATGGCATCGTTGAATTTTTTAATATACTTGCTAATTTTGTCTAGTTTTATTGTTGAAAGAAAAGTGTTGATATTATAAATTTGTAATTTGTTGATATTATGAACTGTAATTATGAATTTGTCAATTTCTCCTTTCAGTTCTATCAAATTTTGCTTCTCATAATGTGTAGTTCTCTTGTTTGGTGCATCTAGATTTAGGATTGCTATGTCTTCCTGGTAGATTGATCCCTTTTTTCCACTTAACTGAGGTATAATTGAAGAAATTGTTTCTATTTTTCACTTACAACATCATGATTTGATATACCTAAACGCTGAGCCCCCAGCCCCAGCCCTTTTTTATCTTTTATTTAGAGACAGGGTCTAGCTGAGTTGCTTAGGGCCTTGCTAAATTTCTGAGGTTGGCTTTGAACTCACTATTCTCCTGCCTCAGCCTCCTAAGCTGCTGGAATTATGGACATGCACCACTGCACCTGGCAGGAGTCCTATTCTTGATAAAAAATATAGAATAATTTAAATTTTTTTAGTTGTAGATGGACACAATACCTTTATTTACTTATTTTTATGTGGTGTTGAAGATTGAACCCAGTGCCTCACATGTGTGAGGCAAACACTCTACCTCTGAGCTACAAACCTAGCCCCTAGAATAATTTTTTTAAAAAATCAGGAGTGTCACTCTGGACCCTAAAACCCTTCTCTGTCTCAGAGGAGAAAGGATTTATGAGAAAGTTCAGTCAGTATCTTTTCCTAAATTAGTGGTGGATTATTTCAGAAGAAGTTTCATCACTGAGGAGACAGCCTATCTATACATTCCACAACTAAATGACTGACATTTCAGATCTATCACCATGGGCCACAGGAGCAGTTAAAAGAAGGGGTCCATTTATAACCCTTTACTTTTTTCTTTTCCAGGAGTTCAGAGACTCAGATCCTACCTGAAAAATCCCAGTCAGAAAAGTTGTAGTTTGCACCACATTTAAAGATCTGTTATAGTTGAGAAAGTAGGTGGGGGAAGAAAAGTCATCCTTGATAAAAGTTCCCATGACCAGGTGACCATAATTGAATGGTCTCTCCTTCAGGACGTTGATCATCAGAGCATTCACAAGGAAGAAGGGACCTACGGGAGAAGATATTAGACAGAAGGTGAGGTTTTACATCCAGGTAAACTGACAGGTACCGACAAAAGCAAGGCTTGGCCTGATTATTTTGTATTGTCTTCAACTTGAATAGACTTTCTTATTTGCAAGTGGCCATAGAAGGATCTGGGAAGTAAGAAAGAGCAGGGAAGAGGATAATGACTCCACATACTGTCACCAACTCATAGGATTTAGATGCTGGTGGTCCAGGTATTTACATCATGGGCATATGGGGTGGGAGTCAAAGAGAAATTGACTGGAAATGGATATCAGGCTCAGTCACTGCACCTGTACTTAGAGATAGATAAAAGTAAAATGGTGTGAAAGGGTCATAAAAAAAAAGCTACAAGAATAATAGGAAGAATACCCCACAATTTTTTTTTGAGGTGGGGTTTTGCTAGGTTGTCCCAGCTGGCTTCAAACTCTTGGGTTCAACTGATACTTCCAAGCAGCTGGGACTACAGGTGCATGTCACTGCACCTATCTCAGTACCAAATACTTCTAGAGGTCTTACTATGTGCAAGACAACATTATGCTAAACCTGTTTCAAACAGTGTTTCACTTATTCCTCATATTGACATATATGCACATGGGAGCAGAGGCAAATCTTCCTTTAAAGTACTTAAACTATAAGAGGTCTTCCTGTCAGAATTTGGAAATGTTTGTGAGGTGCCCCAGGAACTTGGGAATAGTATTTGAATGTAAAAAGCCACACTTAAAGGAGTTAATTAAGTAAAGTACAAAACATCTGAGTAATGCCCTGAACAAGTCTGGATTAAGTGACTGTTGCAGAAAGTCTAATTAATGACAATGAGCCAAATAGCTTCCTCCTCCTCCTCCTCCTCCTCCTCCTCCTCTTCCTTCTTCTTCTTCTTTTAATTAAAGCTGTACCAATATTTTGTTACCAAGCAACATTTGATAAGAGGTCCACTGGTTTTGGTAAATAATAAACATTTTTATAACAACAACAACAAAAACAAAAAGCCATAGTAACATTCCACATCTAAAAGAATTGGATAGTAACCAACAGAATGTACAAACATATCTGGAGAATGGGTGTGTCGATAAGAATGTTCAAAGTTTGCCACTAGAAGTTGTGCAAAGGGGAAGCCCAGGAAAAGGTACCTCACAGAGTGAATGTTCTCGATGCCCTTCCAAGCCTCTTGGGGCATTTTGTGATTAATTCAGTGTTACCTAGGTTAAGTAAATGTAATGATTGGGCGACTTATAACTATTCTGGTCCCTCTGACAATCATTTCTAATTATAAATCAGTAGATGGACTTTTGACTCAGGCAAGGAAAACGTGCTTATCTGTGGGCTTGAGTGTTCTGATTACAAGGACAGAATTTTCTCATTGTAAATTAATAAGCTGACTGGCTGTATTATAAACCAGCCCAATGGAACTGGGCTATTATAGGTCCGGCTAAAGACTGGAATATTAGCCGAATCATTTTTAGGTGTTTGGGTAGTGGGCAGACAAATTCCAAGATGTGGCAATTTCACCAAGGAAGTACCTTTGCCATTAAATTCCTTTGGGAAACATCTTGGTGGCCTGTTTTTCTAGGTGACATTAGTAATGACACACTAAAAGAAGTATTTATATTTTTAACGTAAATACTAACTGTATTAACCAACTATTTATCTTCTGCCTCTTTTCTATCTTAAAGATAACTTTAAATCAGATTTCTTAGCAATAAGTAAATGATTGAGGAAGAAATTTCATCTACCTCCTTTGGTTCCAGTATTGAACTCACCAATGGACATTTGATGACATGATCCAAAAATTACATAAATTACAGAAGAACAGAAAGCTGTGTAAGCGACATTAAGAGGAGGAATCAGTTGTCTTGTCATCAAAGAAAGTGTCAGACCTGAAAAGATAATGTAAATAATAAAAGGTAGTTTGGCTTTTAAAAGTCACCTTAAATAGAAACTGTAAAAAAATAATTAAAATAAAAATAGTCCATGTGAAGTCAGGCATGGTGGCTTATGACTTAATCCCAGCTACTCTGATCCCAACTACTCAGGATTACTGAGGCAGGAGGATACCAACTTGGAGGCCAATTTGGGCAACACAGAAAGACCCCAATCTCAAACAACAACAGCAACAAGAAGATCCATGTGTACAGCCAAGTGAATGTGGTAATAGCATCCCTTCACAACAACTTCTAATGAATACCTTTTATTATCTCCTCCAATTCTTACCTTCCTTTTCTGATTTACCATGTTATTTGACACCTCAGTTCTTCATCACAGAATGAAACAAATTTCACTGTGAAGTCTTACTACTAAATAAGGAAAGCAAACACCATGACAATACAATTCGGAGTTCCAGTGTCCAGAAGTACCATCCCTATCCTTAGTTTAGCACAAGATGGCCCTGGGAACCCTCCAGGGCTGAAGATAGAGCTGGAGGCAAGGCAAGAATCACACTTAACTGACTTGACTCCAAGTTGATATGTGCTATTTCTTTTCTATTTGCCCAACACTCCAATCTCTTCCTTTAGCTCCTTCAACACTTTCCTTTTCTAAGATGCACCATGAGAATTTGGAAAATTTAAAGCAAAGATAATAACATGCATGATGTCATCCTTTTGATGTTTCAAGTCCACACTTCCTGGGCTTAAGGGCTTTTCCTCAACTTACATGTTACCAATATACTCATTGAAATTCAGTTATGAGTTCAGCCAGCTACTTTATCATGTTATACAAACAAGGCTTCTTCTAAATGGAAAATTTCAAACATATACAAGTAGAGAGCATGTATAATGAACTCCTGTATACCATCATTCACCTCAACAATGGTCCACCCATGGCCAATCTTGTTTCACCTATACCCCAATCCTCTCCCACCCTGTATTGGTTTGAGGCAAATCCAAAATACCAAATCATTTCATTGGTAGATATTTCAGTATGTATCTCTAAAAGATGGCTCTGATACTTTAACTACAATAGCATTACCATCCACTCAATGTTCAAACATCCTTAATTATCTCATAAATGGTCATTGTGGTAGAGGGTCTCTAAGAGGATACACAATGGGCAATTGGTATTCCTGCCTTAAGTGTGAGAAGACCCAATAACTTGCTTCTAAGGAACATACTACAATATAAACGACAGGATGTCACCTCCCCGATAAGGCTGCAAGGAAAAAAATCTATGGCTTCCATCTTTATTGCTAGTGTTGTCTTCAAAGGTGTCTGACCTCTGTGGTTTAATGCTTTGGTTTAATGCTTTGCTGTCACTATCTTGAATTTAACACTTGGTTTAATGCTTTGCTGTCACTATCTTGAATTTCTGAATAAGTTTTGCACTAGGGGCCCTGCATTTCCATTTTGTCTTGGGCCCCACACTTGCAGATGGTCTCACCAGATACCAAGTTGTGAAGATGCTCAAGCATCTTCATCTATGCGGAGGAACTCAGGCCTGTCAGTAAACGTGAGAGTGAGCTTGTAAGTGGATCTTCTGAGTTCTGTCCACAGCCACATGAGTGAGCGTGGAAACGGTCCTCCAGCCTCAGTGGGGCCTTAAAATGACTAATAGCTTGATTGTAGCCCTATGAGAGACCTCCAGCCAGAGGTAGGGTGGGTTTTGAGGCAATCTTTAGCAAATTATTATTTGCTTTCATATTTCACAGTCTGTTAAATCAAGATCCAAATATGGCCCCAATCGAAATATCTCAAGTCCATTATAATTTACAGGCTCACACTTTTTTTTTCCCCTTAAGCATGGTTATATAGTTTGCAGGAGACAGAAAACACGCTCAGATGAGCTTATGCAAAATAGGAAATTTAAAAGGGTACAAAGAGTAGCTGGACGTCATCAGAGACTGGGACCAAAAGGGCATCAGGACCCAAGGCAGCTATTTCCCCCATTTTTTTTCTTTGCTCCAGGGTTGAACAGTGTCATGTCTTTGTTTCCAATTCGAGGCTATTATGAGTAGTAGTGTTCTGAATATTCTTGTACCTGTCTCCCAGTACACAGAGGTACAAGTTCCTTGAGATTATAAACCCTTAATTATAACTTCTGGGGCATTTACTAGATAATGCCAAACTGTTTTCCAAATGGTTGTGCAATTTATATTCCCGCCAGCAATATACGGGAGCGCCTGTTGTTCACATCTGTGCTGGCACGTCATACTGTCAGATTTTTAATTTTAGGGTGTATGGTGGTAACTCATTTTAATTTCAATTTCTACTTCATCAATTACTTGTAATTTTGAGCATTCTTATATAGTTGTTTTGATTTTTTAAGGAGTCTTATCTTTATTATAAATAAAATCTTTGTAGTGTTTATGTATTACAAATATTCTCCCCCATTCTGTGATTTTCTTTCTCTTTTGTTCTTTCTTTCTTCTTCCTTTCCCTCTCCTTTTTTGTTATGCTAAGGAGTGAACCCAAGACTTCATACACGCTCGGTGTTCTACTACTGTGCTATGTCCCCAGCTCTATGATTTGCTTTTCAATCTTTATAGAGGCTTAGAATAGACAAGTTCTTAAATTTTACTTAATTCAATTTGTCAGTCTTTTTCTTTGGTCCTTTCCTTTTGCTTTTTGTGTCTCATTTCTACCTTAAGATTGTGATGGTGGACTGTGAAGGAATACAATTTCCTCCATTATTAAAAAAAAAAAAAATCTTTATTTTTTACCTTTCACAGTTAAGTCTTTAAACCACCAGGAGTTGACATTTGTGTATGGTGTGAGATAGGGATATAATGTTTTTTCCTATATTAGTATCCAACTTTTCACATAATTTATCATTAAAAAGCCATCTCTGTAGTGACATATGATATCAATCATGTGATTCATCTCAGCAGCTCCGGAGGCTGAGGCAGGAGGATGGCGAGTTCAAAGCCAGCCTCAGCAAAAGCGAGGTATTAAGCAACTCAGTGAGACCCTGTCTCTAAACAAAATACAAAATAGGGCTGGGGATGTGGCTCAGTGGTTGAGTGCCCCTGAGTTCAATCCTCAGTACTCCTACAAAATAAATAAATAAATCATATGATTCATATATGTGTCACTCTCTTTTCTATTCCATTGGCCTAGTTGTTGATTCATGCAATACTACAGTCTTAATTACATTTTTTTTTTCTTTTGGTAATTAGTAGGGAAATAGTTTTGATAGATAGAGAGAGAGAGAGAGAGAGAGCAAGTTTTTTTTTTTTTTTTAATATTTATTTATTTATTTTTTAGTTCTCGGCGGACACAACATCTTTGTTCGAATGTGGTGCTGAGGATCGAATCCGGGCCGCACGCATGCCAGGCGAGCGCGCTACCGCTTGAGCCATATCCCCAGCCCACAACATCTTTATTTTATTTTTATGTGGTGCTGAGGATCGAACCCAGCGCCGCGCTCATGCCAGGCAAGCGCGTTACCGCTTGATCCACATCCCCAGCCCCTACTAATTCACTTTTTATTGTGAAATGTAATGTACTTATAGAAAGTGTATTAAAATAGACGTATTCAGCAATAAAAAGGAACAAATCAAGCTGGTTGTGGTGGCACATCCCCATAATCCTAGCTACTCAAGAAGCTAAGGCAGGAGTACCTCATGTTTGAGGCCAGCTTCAGACACTAATTGAGACCCTGTCTCAAAATAAAAATATAAAGGGCTGGGATTTTAAACATTATTTGCCTAGTTTGTGCAGGGTCCTGGATTTGATGCCCAGGAGGGGGGGGGGAAGCAAACAAATGCAAATATTGATATATACAACAATTTGCATGAATATCAAAGGCATAATACTAAATTAAGCTAGCCTTCAAAAGTTGCATACTGTATGGTTTTATTTATATGGTATTCTCAAAGAGACAGAACCATGGTGATGGTGAACACAGCAGTTGTTAACAGGGGTCAGGGGAGTAGGAGACTAAAAAGGGAAGGCACAGAAGAGATGTTGGGGTGATGGAACGACTCTGTATCCAGGTTGTGGTGGTGGTTTCACAGATTTGTACATGTATTGAAATTCACAGAACTATATACCAAAAGGAAAATAAATTTACTGTACGATAATTTATAAATAAACAAATATTTTAAAAGGCATTTCATTTTCCCCCAATTAACATCCCTATGCCAGAGTTGAATTTCAGCCACCACTTGACCTTTTGTTTGGTCTCTTTTGTGTTTTGCACAATCTGTGCAATTACAAGTTTCAGCCCTGCTGGTCGGCCCTAGAATAACAGAGAAATGAGGATGTTTAATCACTATGTAGGAGATTGGGGGTGACGCTCAGAGGTAGAATGCTTTCCTAGCATGCATGAGGCTCTGGGTTCAATCTCCAGTATGAAAAAAAAAAAGACTATATGAGAACAGAGAACTTCTGTGAGTCTTGTCTCCGGACAAATTTGGTCTTGGGTTAACTTTCTTTTTAATTTTTAATATTTTATTTTATTTTTTTAGTTTTCGGAGGACACAACATCTTTGTATGTGGTGCTGAGGATCGAACCCGGGGCACACACATGCCAGGCGAGCGCGCTACCGCTTGAGCCACATCCCCAGCCCTTGGGTTAACTTTCTATTGTTTCCCTGGAGACGTGATAACAGAATGTCAGCTGTGCTACCAGCCATGGTAAACATGAGCTCAATTAGTGCACTCCATCTGGACCTCAAGGACTGTGAATGAAAGATAAATATCCAGTGGGAAGCCCTAGCTTTGGTCTTCTCTAGACATAGAGTCTCTTATATCTTGGAGTGTCCCTTCTAGGACCTTGGAAGAGATTTGTTAAAAAAGTTGTTGGTTCCTATTTGGGAAACAAGGTTTCTAAAGCCCAGAGGGCTCCCACTTCTATCTGTGTGACTTTGTCTTACATCTGAACTGCCAGTTGAGTGTGGCCTCTGGGATGCTGTGTCTGCTGGAGAGATGCTGGCAAATGTTTCTTAGTAAAAACCAATGCCAAGTGCGATCTATTGTAATTGAGAGTATGAAAGCATTAGTTAAGCAAAAGGTGACCAAAAGTGGGTGTTATAAATATTCTGAAAAGTGTTCAAGCTAATTGTAAGCTAATTTAAGACTTTTGGAACCATCCTGGAGAGGTTAGAAATCTGGCAGTTGAAGGGAACATGTGATATTCACACTTCTTCCCTAGCACTAGTAATTGTTTACTCTGAAAGCAGAAAAGTTTCCATAGTCTGTCTTTGGGTGAAAAGGCTTTGAATTGTCCTTACCTTCAGGAATTTGCACAATGCCAACACTTAAACCAGCAAGTAAATCTCCAAGAAGCCAATCCTTAAATCGGTACAAACATGTCCATTCGAGGAAGGGAAAGATCATATACATACATCTTAGAAACCTGTGCCATGAGCAGCTGTGAGAAAGAAGAACAGAGACTTGATTACCTTCTCCAAAGAGTATGCCCACGGAGTCAAGAAAGGCACAGGGCACCACCCGTGCTTCCAGATAGCAGAGTTTCACATCAGCTCTATTGACATTTTCTTTAATACTTTTAGTTGTATATGGACACAATACCTTTATTTTGTTTACTTATCATTATGTGGTGCTGAGGATTGAAACGAGTGCCTCACACAAGCTAGGCAAGTGCTCTACCATTGAGCTATGACTTCAGCCCTCTAGTGACATTTTAACCCATCAGACTGCCCATGCATTGCAGGATGTCTAGCAGCATCCCTGGCCTCTAGCCACTAGATGTCAGTAATCCTTCCTCCCCCAGCTGTGACAATCCAAATATCTCCAGACATTACCAAATCACCTGGACAGTCAGGGCTATGTAAATGTCAAGAACTAAAATTCATACATATTTGTACAATTATTTCTGTTTTAGTTTGTAAAGATTAAACATACCCATTTCTAATAGAAAAATGAATTGCTGTTGCTTTCCTCATGATAGGGACAGTTCTTCAAGATGTGATGGGGGGGGGGCAGTTAACACATTCATATCATTCCCATATACTAAAGTTTTTACCAAACATGAACTCTGTCTGGCATTGATCTGTGATATGTAGAAATTTATGGAAAATATAGAATATGGAATTCGGTGCCTAAGGAGTTAGCTATGTAAAGAAAGAACTTTATAGCCAGGCACTATGGCACAAGCCTGTAATCCTTAGTGACTTGGAAGGCTGAGGCAGGAGGGTCTTAAGTACTTAGTAAGATCCTATCTTAAAAAATTAAAGGAGTTGGGAATGTCACTCAGTAGTGGAGTGTCCCTGGGTTCAACCCTCAGTTTAAAAAAAAAGGATACATATGTGTGTGTGTGTGTGTGTAAAATATATGTACAAATGTATGATATATATATATATATATACACACACATACATACATATATGTATATGTATATATATACGTAGTGTGTATATGTATGTGTATGTATGTATGTGTGTGTGTGTGTGTGTGTGTGTATATATATATATTATCCTTTAACCCAATGAACTCAACCAGAAGCAATTTTGTTCCCCGGAGTATGTCTGCCAATATTTGGCAGTATATCTTATTCTCATAATTGCCATAAAATAGGTAGAGGCCAGGGATATGGCTAAAAATCCTAAAATGGACAGGACATCTCTCCAAAGAAAGAGCTTTCCGGTACAGAATGTCAAAGTTAAAAGCTGAGTGTGGTTGATATGCCTGTAGTCCCAGCTACTTGGGAGGCTGAGGCAGGGGGTCATTTGAGCTCATAATTTACCACCAGCCTGGGAAACTTAGAGCTCATCTCAAAACAAAAGCAAAATGTCAATGTTGCTGAGATTGAATAAACCTGGTTTAACCTTTAGACTACATCTAAATGAGCAGAATCACCACTAGTCAATGAATCAATCAAACCAATTTGGTTTTAAATTGCCTTTTGCTTTTTATATTTTAGCATGAGTTGTAAGCCAAGAATACGGAGATTTTTTTTTTCCACTTGAGAGCTGTGCTAGATAGTTGGGATTTATTATAACAACAAATATAACTGTAGTGTGCTCAGAAAAGAAGTCATTTCACATGTTTTATCTTTCAACTGTAAGCTTAACTATCTCTAAGGTATGTAAGGCCAAATAAGTATAAATGACTTTGCTAAGGTCAAGGTAGTAAATGGGAGCAGAGCTGGGGCTAGAAGCCAGGTCTTCTGGTTCCCTAGCCAGTGTTCTATTCACTCTTGTGACCTCCACAGTACCTCCTGACAGCTGTGAAATTCTGCTCAGGAACAAGTACATTGGTTTGGAAGGAACATCACATTGCTATTCTTCTGAGATTGGTGTGTTTGAGGCAGGTGCACAAAGAGTGTTCTCTTTAATTATGAGTCTTTTTGGGGGAGAGGAGAGTATGGCACTGGAACAGTTTGTTCCTTCACAAAGTCCAGTCATCCCTCCTTGCCACGTGCCACTTGGCTCAAGACCAGCTACTCTGTGCAGAGTCATCAAAGTTCTTTGGCATGGTGAAAAATAAAATTGACATGGAGTGATGAGGATCTACGAATGAATGGAATCAGAGAGGCAGTTAGAGGAATAGAAACTGAACCTAATGGGGGAAAGGGAGAAGTATATATTTAGACGTGATTTGGATCTCAGTTAAGGCATCTTAAGAGTGAGGAATGCGGGCTGGGGTTGTAGCTCAGTGGCAGAGCACTTGCCTAGCATGTGTGAGGCCCTGGGTTTGATCCTCAGCACCACATAAAGATAAATAAATAAAATAAAGGTACTGTATCCACCTAAACTATAAAAAAATTAAATAAAAATAGTGAGGAATGATAAGAGTTGATGTGAAAGTACAGGAGGGGTTTTTGACATGAAAGGGAGTATTTGCAGTTGCTAAGAGGAAAGAGATAAGAACTTTTCTGCAAAAATGAAGAGATGGAATTAAAAGATTATTTTATTTACTAAAAAAAACCCACTTATCTAGGCATGTTACAAATATTTACTCTTCAAATCCTTATAATCATGCCCACTTTACATTTGGACGCAAGACATAGTAGGGTTGACTACCTTACCTAAGGTCACATAGCTGGAAAGCAGTAGAATAGAATTTAAAACTATGCAGCCTGGATTCAGAATATTGCTCTTTTTAATTACTGATTCTTAGGCTTTTGAAGGTTTCTGATTTTCTTTACAATTTTTTTATTATTGCATTAAAATTATACATAATGAGGGGATTCTTTGTTACATCAGAATGGTGCTCTTAACCACTAAGCTGTGCTATCTTTCTGGTTAAAATTCAGAAATGGAGGGAATTATGTTCCGGAAGTAATAGATATATAAAGAAGAATAATGAAATAAAAAAGATACATAAATAGGGCACAGTGGCACATGCTTGTAATTCTAGTGACTCAGGAGGCTAAAGTAGGAGGATACTGGCAAGTTTGAGGCCAGCCTGAGCAACCTAGCAATACCCTGTCTCAAAATGAAAAAGTAAAATGAGCCGGGATGTTGTGATATTGCTTGGTGGTTGAGTGCCCCTGGGTTCAATCCCTAGTACATACATACACACAAAAAAATAAAAAATTTAAAAATTAAAAAAAAAATAGAAACAGGAGATGAGAACAGAACAACTATAAAAGCCCAAAGGCAGATGGGTTGAATTTAAGTGTCCAGATGGCAAGGCTGGGACAGTGCAGAGAATTTAGGTTGAAATTTCTTTAGTGATACTCATAAGAGGGTAAAGTTAGGAAAGACATATCATTTTGCAGAGAGAAACACAATGTGGAAAAATGCTCTTTTTGACACATATCCTGGAGCCAAAGAAATCAAAGTGGTGACATAGAATTGGAAAGGGACATTTCACTTGTAAAAAGCAAGATATGGACAAAGAAATGTGCCTCAGGGAGGAAATGAAATAGGGCTGTGTGGAGTACTTCCTCCCTGCCCAACACATGCCAATTGTGGGTGATAAACCAGAGATGAGAGGGACTAATAAATACAGAGTGGGGGTGAGGACAACTTAAGTAATTAGGGTCATTATCATGACAGAGGTCACAAAGGATTTTTCTTTTTTAGTTTTAGATGGACATAATACCTGTATTTTAAATGAAATAAATAAAAGTTCATCTTTATGCGGTGCTGAGGATTGATCCCAGGGCTTCACATGTACTAGGGGAGTGCTCTACCACTGACCACAACCTCAGCCCCGACAAAAGATTCTTGACCTTAAGTTTATGGACCACCACAGGTGTCTGTAGACAGATTTTGGAGGTATAGGTGAACTTAAATAGGAAAACATTTTTTTTTGCCAACCTCTGAATGAAAAATAGAATTTCCTTCAATTATGGATATTGATAACAAACCACAATAGAATCAGCAGAACTTGACTTTGTCACAAGTAGAAATTACAGATATTTTCATATTATAATTGCTACAGGTATCCCAAATTATTATTTACATTCATCATCACTTTAAAAATATGGTGGATATGAGACCCACATTATTAACACAATTTAGAGATTTTTCATATTTTGGTAATTACATTTTATTATAACCATTTTCTTTATAATCCTGTTTATTTTATATAATAAACAATTATCAACTGTAATCCCAGTGGCTTGGGAGGCTGAGACAGAAGGATCACAAGTTCAAAGCCAACCTCAGCAATGGTGAGGCACTAAGCAACTCAGTGAGACCTGTCTCTAAATAAAATACCAAATAGGACTGGG